AGAATTTATCAGTACGTTTAATGACTTTAAATGGTCCGTCATATGGGGGTTCTAGAGGACGACGTACCGAGTCGCGACGAACAAATACATGTGAAGAAGTTTTTAAACAAGGGTGAGCGAAAACATCAATGGACTGTGGTCGGAGGGGAGCAGGTTTAACTGAACGCATAGCGTTTGTAAGCCTGCTGACGTATGAGGAGTGATCTACCACTGGTGGGAAGCAGGAGGGAGAAACAAACTCACCTGGCAGTCGTAGTGTTGTGCCATATACTAGCTCAGAGGTAGTACAACCAGCATCGGTTTTTAAGGCGTTTCGTATCCCTAGGAGAACTAACGGAAGGGATTCAGTCCAATGGGTGCTATTTGCAGCTGATAAACCAGCTTTCAACTGTCTGTGTAGACGTTCTACCATACCATTCGCTTGAGGATGGTAGGCTGTTGTTCGAAAACGCATACAACCAAGGATTTTAGTCAAAGCGAAGAATAAACCGCTTTCGAATTGCCGCCCACGATCAGTTGTTATGGAAGATGGGCATCCAAAGTTTGCGATCCATCTCTCTACAAAGACGCGTGCGACAGTTTCAGCAGATATATCCTTGATGGGTACTGCTTCAGGCCATCGTGTGAAGCGATCGATGCAGGTTAACATATAGGTGTATCCATGAGATTCTGGAAGGGGGGCAACTAAATCTATATGGACGTGTTCGAAACGGGCATCTGGGATAAGAAAGGTACCAAGTGGGCTTTTGGTGTGTCTTATTACCTTGCACTTTTGGCAAGCTAAGCACGTCTGTGCCCATTCCCTTACTTCTTTGTTAATACCAGGCCAACAAAACCTACTAGTTACGAGTTTGACAGTAGTTCGAATACCTGGATGGGATAAGCCATGTAACGTATTGAAGACGTTACGGCGATAACTTTTAGGCACGATGGGGCGAGGAGTACTAGTGGAAATGTCACACAGAATAGTATCCTTTCCTATACCTAAGGGTTTCTTGGCTAATTGTAGAGTTGTTTTCGACAACTCACGCTGAAGCTCAATATCTTCTTTTTGAAGACGAGCCAGTTTTACAAGGTCTATGCCGTTGATTTGGGTGAAAGAACAAATACGTGACAAAGCATCTGCCACAGTGTTGTTCACTCCGGAAACATGGCGAATATCTGATGAAAACTGTGAAACGTAATCTAGTTGTCGCGATTCCCTGGGTGAATACTTATCTGAAGTTGAGTTCAGAGAGTAAGTCAGAGGTTTGTGGTCAGTGAAAATGGTGAATTCACGACCCTCAACTGAATGTCGAAAATGACGTATAGCGCAGTACATAGCTAGAAGTTCTCTTCCGAATGTGCTGTACTTCGTTTCAGCTACTTGAAGGCGCCTCGAGAAAAAGGCGAGTGGTTGCCATTCGTTGTTAACTAGTTGTTGCAGAACTACGCCGATTGCAGTGTCTGATGCATCAACCGAGATACTCAACGGTGCCGTTGGATCCTGATACATAAGAAGGGTGGCATCTGCAATAGCTTTCTTTACCTGAGTAAAAGTATGTCGAGCAGACGTGTCGAGTTCGATAGCCTTGTTGTTCCCTCGAAGGAGATCGGTTAATGGCTGAATTAGAGAAGCACAATTAGGAATAAAACGTCGGTAATAACTTACCAAGCCGTTAAAAGTGCGAAGGCATTTAATTGTCTTTGGCTCCGGGAAGTTCAGTATCGCTTCGACTTTAGTAGCCAGTGGGCGTATGCCCTGACAGTCAATAGTGTGACCCAGAAAATCGAGTGAGTCAACGCCTATCTGACACTTCTGTATATTGATGGTAACACCATGTTGGCGTAACCTCTCAAATGCCAAGTCCAAGTGTCTAAGGTGAGTTTCCTTATCTGGACTGGCAATGAGGCAGTCGTCTAAGTATGCGTATACAAAGTCGAGACCGCGAAATACTTCGTTGATGAAGCGTTGGAATGTTTGGGCCGCATTCCGGAGGCCGAATGGCATACGTAGGAATTCAAAAAGTCCGAAAGGCGTGATGATAGCCGTTTTCGGAATATCTTCCGTTGCCATCGGGATTTGGTTATATGCTTTAACCAAGTCGATTTTGGAGAATATGGATGCTCCAGATAACGTTGCCGTCAAGTCGTGTATGTGAGGCAAAGGGTAGCAATCAGGGGTTGTTTTGGCGTTCACTCGCCGGTAATCACCAGTGGGTCGCCAATCGTTGCTATCCTTTTTCGGTACCATATGCAATGGGGATGCCCATGGACTATTCGATGGTCGAATGATGCCAAGGGTGAGCATATGATCGAATTCGTTTCTGGCAATTCTCAGTTTGTCAGGTGCCAGTCGTCGTGCTTTAGATGTCACGGGCTGTCCTGAGGTTATGATGTGGTGCATAACATTGCTGGTTATACACGGGAGGTCGTTAGATGGGCAATTCAGTTCCGGATATTTGTCAACAATCAGTTGAAAAGTTGGATCGACGATTGCTTTCATCTTAACGATTGACAAGCTAGGGCCACTGTAAGTTATGCCTTTGATAGACAAACTAGTAGTGTTGTCAATTAGTCGTTTACGGCGGACGTCTACGAGCAAATCATGATGATTAAGTAGGTCCGTGCCAATGATGGGCATTGTGACGTCAGCGATTAGAAAAATCCACCGAATAGGTTTGCGTAAACCTACGTTCAGATAGACGTATTTCCGACCATAGGTTGCAATTGGTTTTCCATTTGCAGCCTGTAGGTTGAAGTTAGGATCCTTCTGTCGATCTGCTGCTGTAGCAGGAAGGACGCTGACTTCGGCGCCTGTGTCGACTAGATATCTAGTCTGGCTCATTACATCATGGATGTAAAGTAAGCGGCTAGTGCCACCGGCGACGGTTGCCGCTAACGCGTGCCGGCGGGATAGTTTCCCACAGACTTGGAGGCTTTGCCGAAATCACAAGGTTTTCGACAACATTTCGCTTCCTTGCCATAGGTGTTGTGATACCAACACCAGTCAGGTTTTTTGAGAGAACGTGTGTTGGACTTAGATCGTCCACGTGCGTTTTGCCGTTGAGGGGATCTAGAACGACGGTTTGAGGAATTAATAGGCTTGTTTGACCTAAGCATCTGCTGGACGGAGTTGCATAACTCTATCATTGCAGAATCCTTCTTCGAAGTCTGTTCGGTAACAGAGTATACTTCGGTAACTGGCCGTTTCGTTATCTCTAGAATTCTATCTGCAGAGACAGCTAAATCATCTATGAGAACACCCTGAAGTGTCACAAGTACAGTCTGAACTGACTGTGGCAGTTTGGATAAAAGTAGTTCTCTAAACAGTCCTTCATCGAACTGACTTTGGCCAATGATCTCTTTCATTCTTGCCAGCATGCTCACGGCTGACTGATCTCCTAACTCGATGTTACGAAATAACTCATCCAGACGTTGTCGATCTGTGAGAACGTTTCTCTTGAGGATGGATGCTTTGAGCAACTCGTACGAGTTACTTACCTCTGGACTCGACATCTGCAGAGTTACGCACTTGCTGAATTCCCGCGGTAGGGCGTGAATAACTGCAAGGAACTGTGAACGCTGATCAGTTATGCCATGTTCACAAAAATCAGACTCAGCAATCTGAAACCACGTTTCAGCATTATCTGGCCAATATGGTACTAGCTGAATTGTTTTGGCGGTTGAGCGAATCCGAATAACTTTGGGGCTAGGATCACTCATGACGAAACGTATGCCGATAACAATATAGTACAAGAATAAACACAAAATGGAACGAACTCACCGGGTTTATCTGCGTGTGAATTGAAGATGTAGTTCGTGGTTGGGCTCACCAGTTTAGGGGTGGCTGCGGGTATCGACGTTCGCGAGTTGTACGGATTATACTAACGCAAGATCTTATACCAACAACCACTATAGTGTTCGTTCTTCGAGTACCAAATGGTAAAGCAAAAGACCAGATTTTGTCGTCCAAAGTACGTATTATATTTCGGGACAAAATCGCGGGTAGAGGTGAATGCTTAGCTAGCTAGTAATCGTGCACGCACGTGACACGACGGAGCAACAAATGGCGGGGATGCTTGACCGGAAGCCTTCGGCTAAACAAGTCGACTTAAACAGTGACGGTCAGCATCCAATGTTGAGTGATGATTGCTGTGGTTAATAATTTTGGGGAATTATTTACCGCTGCAACTTCCATCACTTCATACTCACGCGGAATTAGGTGTCATAGTGAGCCACGACTTAAAAACTGCAGCACACTGTCGCGCGGTGGCTGCAGGTAGTTTCAGGTCCTTATGTGCAATTCGCTGAGTCTTCGCTAGAATCACCAGAGATATGTTCACCTCCTTATATACATTTCCGATGAGGTAAAGACTAGAAAACTATATCCAGGCAGCCAGTCCTCGTCTTCAAAGGGACTCACATATCCTAGAAAGGGTCCAAAGGAAGGCAACATGTTTGATTCTCGCCATGACTAATTTATCCTAACGAGGAAAGACTAGACAGTTTAAATCTCTTCTCCCTGTCATACTGTAGGAAGAGAGGAGATTTAATCACAATGTTTAAAATTTTAAATGATAACTACGGACCTGACCTATTCTGTTTTTTCCTCCCCACCAGGTCAAAGCACCTTAGAGGACATAGCAGGAGAGTTCAACAGCGAAAAAGAAATAATATTACTGTTGAATATTGGTTCTCATAATGAGTCACAAACTATTGGAACCGACTCCCAGAAGAAGTGGTGTTTTCAAATTCACCTGATTCATTCAAGAAGGGTTTGGACAACCATAGAAATTTACTAGAAAATGATTAACATAGGCTCCAAGCCTTCGAGCCTTCCATCTTCAACCAATAAATCTGAAATCTGTTGTTGCAGGACGAGCTACGCAGAAGTTTACCGAAGATCAGGAACCTGTACCTCACAATCAATAGGCGAGCACAAAGAAATCAAATTGGTTTATACCAGCTCGTAAAAACGATAGTGGATATTGGACCTTGTGGTTGTGTGGTTTAACAGACTTCGCTACCTCAAACCGAGGATTTGATTTCATATTTGTAGGTAAGTAATCCGTGGCATGTAGATTGCATTTGTTCCAATGATTTTGGAAAAGAAAATATTAATTTTAATTGGTTCATCGAGCGACACTTCACCACTACCCGTGATATACAGCACAAGAATATCAAAAGTGGAAAATATTGGGTGATTTTGGGGCAAAATTTCGGGGTTTGGACAAGTATGTTGCATCTCATTGAAAAGTTTTACTGTGAATTTACTTTGGAAATGGAAACATTACCAATTGGTAATTTTGGAACTGTATTTAAACACTCACCTACCCACCTAGCAATGATTTCGGGCCCATTGCAGACTATTTGAGGAAGACTTCGGGTGCACATTCTGCCCATAAGGCTTTTAATAAATTATTTTTACCCTGTCCTTTTCTTTAGCATTACTAACACATGTTCGGTCTTATATGTGATATTCGATTATCTAGAAAATGGCACTTTTGCTGGGACACCATTCATTTGGTCGGTTAGTGTTTTGGACGTTGATGACATTAAAATAAGTGGTTGTCTGGACCTGTGGTCACATTTATATCCACCTCAAGTACTTTGATTTGATAGAAGGTATTCCTGGAACCTTAATCGTAACAACAACCAAATGTATAGCTATTTTCATTGATTAGGCCTACATATATTTGTCGTTTAACAGTCATAGCAACCTAATTGTGATATTTTTCTTAGCCTATAGAATGTGAACTTCTGGTTTTGAGAACGTCGTGCATCTTGCCCGGAGAAAACTTCAGATCGTTCTTTGCTACTAAACTTGCAGAAATGATAAGCCCGTGGATATTTACTAGTCTATTTGCGGATATCGGTCCTTTTTGTAGTTCACTGCACCCCATTACTCCCCTCAAGAATAGCATTAATCTCATCCTTTATCCCAGAAATCTGGAGATCTTATGTTTTGAATCTTTCTACTTACTGTATTCGTTCAACTTACTACCTTTGAGCACAAACCTACCTGACCTTTAGGGTCTGTTGTACATGCAATTCACTTGTAATCATCCACGTGCTGTAGAACATAATCGCAACTGTGTAAAATGATTATCACCTAGCATAGTCAGAAGGCGATGAAACCGTAATGTAACTAATACAGAATTTAGAATAAACCAGCCAGTTTAACTGTGAATTTCGTTTGGGTAATGAGGTTGGAAAAAAATAAGTGACTGAAGAGGGACTCGCAAACTATCGCTAATGTGTCAATAGTTTATTTGTACTTAAATTATGTCTGTTGAATTGGGATGTGAAGTCTGCAACTGGTAAACAGCTAGACATCTGACCTTTTCATGTTTTCCACTTTCAGTGACTATGTCTTACAGCCATAAAAGAGGACGGAAAGAACCGCTGAGCCTTATGGACTTGTATACTGTCCAGCAGTTCCCTCCGTCCTCTTTTATGGCTGTAAGACATAGTCACAAAGTGGAAAACATGAAAAAGCTGGTTGTCTTCGATCATAGGTGTCTGCGTTCTATTTCCAATGTTGGGTGGTATGAGAGCCACATTGAGGTCAGGCATCGAGTGCTAGGTAAGGAAGGAAGATCTATCGATAAGGATGTGAAGTTACATCATTTGAGATGGTTTAGACTTGTGTCACGTATAAACAGCCACCACCTTCGACGGGCAGTGTTAGCCACTGACATAGGATCAGGTTGGAAAAGAGCTAGTGGTGGCCAAACCAAAACATGGTTTCATCAGTCGATAAATTCCGTAATAGGTAGTTTAAGCCACATCAGGAGGTGTAAACTTCCTGACTGGTTGGGGTTCTCGAAATGGTAAGAATCAATGAAAGCTGGAGACAGTTGGTGATATGGCTCAAAACCGTTCTCAATGGCTGGCGCAGATGCATTCACTCTTTGTGATTTGCCATATTCAATTTAGCTCTATTGCTCTTCCATATTACTATTCTTCTTGCCTCACACTTGTTTATTACGTCTTTAGAGCCTCCCTTCTCTTGCTTTTTGTGCTATCTGAAGTGAAGTGTTGAAACCGGTTAGTCAACTGGTATGCAGATGCATTAATTCCTACACTGTCTATGTGGTAACCTTTCAGAAATGAAACGTCACTCAACAACCACTTCGAATTTCATGCAGTTGGCATTGAGCCATTCTTATTATGTGAGAGTTGGTGATACTACTTATCTGTCCAAACCTCGGAAGGTGGAGTGGAGTTCGAACCCGTTGCCCAATGGTTGGAAGCCGAGTGCCTAGACAAATGAGCCGTAGCTCCACCCTAAAATTTCAGAAGTCCAATCTAGCCAGAAGGCTTCAGTACCATTTTTAGAAAAGCAAAAAGTCACAGGACCATTTATCTTAGGAGGAACACTATCATCGTTAAAGGCCTCATTGTCGGATAAATGTAACAAATGGAAATATCCTTTAAGGAGTCTTAGATCTTATCTTATTGATTTTAAACATTTTTTATTTTAACACTTATCTATATAGGTATAATACTTCTGGTGAAAAACCTTTAGTCATGCTATGTCGTGTGTGCTGAACAGGAAAAAGTTACATTATTATCTGGAAAATGTCGAATCATTTCGAAACCCAAAGCTTGAACTTGAACAGTACTGTACTTCAGCTCACGTTGCAGGTTAGTTGATAAACTAATCAAAATAAACTCTCTCTATTTTTCATAGCTGATATCTTGTTTAATATTCAAATGGCCGATAATGCCTTGGAAAATATGTCAGTCGCCGACTTAGGATGCGGTACTGGAATGTTGTCAATTGGTGCCAAACTACTTGGAGCTAAGTAGGTCACCATTATTCCGTTAACTCCAACCGTAGATATCAGTTGTGTGTTTGGCTTTGAAATTGACAACGATGCTGTAAACGATTTCCAGTCCAATTTAGAAGCATACGAAATGATGGATGATACTGTAAATGTTACTTTATGTGATGTTACACGGCTTTTTCGTGACAACAAACGTAAACTTGTGGATACTGCCATTTTAAATCCTCCTTTTGGTACTAACCCGGAGAAAAATGGTAAATATAAGTGACTAACTAATTGGTGACATTCTGTAGGTATTGACATGGCATTCTTACATGTTGCGTTGTCGATCGCTGATTCACATGTATATTCTCTTCATAAAACCACTACAAGAAATGTAAGTATACTGGAGTTTTTGAGATAGTATATATTGTAATGTTCACTTCTAATAATAACAATTAACTTTGGCATAATTTACTAATACTATATATTTATATTTGTAAAAGTTAACACTGACGTGTGTGTTGTGGTATCTGTCCTTGTTAGATCAATATCTCGGAACTTCTGTCATTTCATAGGATTAGATAAACTTCGCCTGTGTTTAAACTCCTCACACTAACAACACCTTGATAATGCCTGTAGTTAATTGTTGACTAAATAGAGACAGGCAGTGCCGTTCAAGGCTTGAATGATGTTGTCCATATCAAAGCTCACTAGCCGACGATGCCAGCCCAAGGATTCAGACCCAGTCCCCACCATTTAAGTTGTCTAATGTCGAGCGAATAAGTAGTCGAGGGGTTAATGCTCTACCATTTGGGTTTCACAAAAAGATAAACTACACTAGGTAGTATCAGTTACACACTTCGATAAGCGCAGATGACCCCACCTTCAAAATCGTATATGAGTGGTAGTGATACTACCTGTCTGCTCAAACCTTGGTAGGTGGAGCTAGGTTCGAACAGTGACTCATTGGTTGTAAGTCGATTGCGTAAACTAATGAGCCACAGCTCCTATCAATGGAAAGAAACAGCTACAATTTTAAGTTGACTGTGAAACGTATCATGTTAAACTCAACAGTTTCACATAGCTTACAGGACTTCATCATGAGCTGATATCGGCTAGAGAACCATCGGTCACGCTATATCATGAATTAACTGAAGTTGGAATTCATGGACTGATCATTGGATCGGGTCCCAGTGGCTTGATGGTCTACGACCTCCCCTTGTGACCGTAAGATGATTGGGTTCGGACCCTGGCGGCGGGTGCGTACTGATGAAGAGTCCCAAACTAGGATTAAAAAAATCTGTTCAGTACTACTCCCGGTTGGTTTTCCAATGGTTCTCCAACCGATGTCTGCTGATGATGAAACCCTGTAACCAATCAAATCAAATCCCTGCAAAGCAACACTTGAGTTTCACATAGGATTATACATTACACTTAATGTCTGTTAAGAAATACAAGACTAATATACTACGCTTGGCAAAGTAATGTACACCGGGTGGCTAGACAGCGGCCAATTTAAGAAATGACGACAGGTTATCATCAATGGTTTAGGGAAGACGACACTTTCTAACTCCCGCTTCAAAACAAAGTGACAAAGTGATAATGAAGACTAAGTTCGACAAAAATCTCAAATACACATACAGAGACGACTCAACAACATAAAATGCTACCGGTTGTGGGGTTGTAAGACAGCTTTTTCCCCACTCCTTAACGGTTATCCTTACAGTTTTTGAACAGAATGTGGTGTTCAAGTGTTGGTTTGTAGGGATTTGATTGGTTACAGGATTTTCATCATGAGCTGACATTAGTTAGAGAACCATTGGAAATCCTGGGAGCACTGAACAGCTGTTTCGTCCTAGTTTGGAACTCTTCATCAGTACGCACCCACCACCTAGGTTCGAACCCAGGACCTTCTGGTTACAAGGCAAGCTAGCTCGTAGACCATTAAGTCACTGGGACCCGCCCATCCAATGGTCAGTGCGTGAATTCTAACTTCTGTCAATTCACGACATAGCGCGACCCCTAGCCAATGTCTTCGGCGAGTATCTGTCCTCACACCCGACCTGCTGCACCCTACTGGTCACGACTTCTCACTAGAACCCCAGGTAACTACCTACCTGAATAGGGCAAGTCGCTAGTGAGCATCTCATTGATGTGTTTGAGAATAACTTATGCATATGCTCCTGCTTTTATTTGTCTTCAACTTCATAGCACGTTCTACGTACAATACACAATACTGGAGCTCAAGCTAAAGTAGTTGCAGAACTTCGTTTCGACCTGCCTCGTTCCTATAAACGTCATCGTCAAGATACAGTGGACATTGCTGTGGATTTAATTCATTCATGGTTTTGAATAAATTATTACTATTATTGTTATTATTTGAGAAACATTTTTTGTACTATATGCGTAACTCTTTGTACAGTAATTATTAAAAAGGACGGATAAATAAGAAGGCGTGTGCGTTTTACTATTTATTATTTATTCTCCAACAATTATATCACGTAGCTATAATTTATTGGAAAATTAAATGTACAAGAATCACTGTTATTAATATTATTATCGTACAGATGACCAAGAACACCAACGATATCTTGGCATTTTATCAGGCAGTGTATTGTGTGGCTTAGGTACAGGTTGTGGTCGTTTTATACTTCGAGGATGTAGCGCTTCAAATTTAGCTTGTTCTTTCATCCGTGTACGTTCTGATAGACCTGGATAGGAACATTTTAATATAAATTGATTTTTTGAACTTTCATGAGTAACAAGATCGATAGGTGGACCAATTGGTCGTATTTTACGACCGAATCTACCAGTTTTACGTTGAAATAATCCACTGCGTTGTTTTATTCCACGCCATTTCTTTTCACCGAATTTACGAAATCTGTGTATAGAATAGAATAATGTAGAGAAAGATTATGCGACAGAGATAATATATGCAACCGCGTCATACTTAATCCATGCTTCATACTCCATCCAAAATAATTTCGATATCAGTAAATAAAATATACACATACTTAGGATATTATAAAGACCTTGAGGGTTTCGCATATCGATATTTAGATCTTTCAAGTTTCAGCACAGATTGATATAAGTTACAGAACCATTGGAAACCAGCATGGAGAGTACTGGACAGCTGTCTCGTCCTAGTGCTTGGGACTCATTGATAGTACGTACCCACCACTGTGGTTCGAACCCAGGTCTTTCCGACTACTAGGTAAGCTCATTCAGCCACTGCTACCCCCGACTCAATGGAAGAGTCTTCTGAACACCTTGAGCTGCAATCTACGAATGTTTGGCATGCGGTTCGCTCCCACCAAATGCAAGATGATGTTACAGGATTGGACTACACCGACTCCTAGTTTAGAAATAGGGAGTGAAGTGGTAGAGCACGTTGACCGCTTCACTTACTTGGGAAGTACCATCAGCAACAACGGGTTAATCCCTGACGAAATCTCAGCACGGATACAGAGGACTAGTTTCGCATATGCCAGTTTACGCCGTCTCTGGCGTAGACATGATATCCGGCTATCGACCAAAGGGCGGGTGTACTGCTTACCAGTCCACTCCGTCTTCCTTTATGGCTGTGAGACCTGGCCATTAAGCGTGGAAGACATGAAAAGATTAGCTGTCTTTGATCATAGGTGCCTGCGTTCTATCTCCCGTGTGAAGTGGTATATTAAGGTGGGCAATATTGAGGTTAGGCGTCGAAAAATAGGTAAGGAGGGGAAATCAATTGACGAGTCTGTAAAATTACATCGACTGAGATGGTTAGGACATGTCTTACGTATGCCTAATCATCGCCTTCCTCGACGGGCAATGTTAGCTGATATAGGGTCAGGTTGGAAAAGAGCTAGCGGCGGTCAAACCAAAACATGGCTTTATCAGTCAATGAAATCTACAACAGTTAGTCTAAGCCACGTAGGAAGGTGTAGACTTCCTGACTGGTTGGGGTCCTCGGGACGGTAAAATCCAATGGCTGGAGACAATCGGCGATATGGCTCAAAGTGGTCGTTCTCAATGGCGCAGATGCATCCACTCCTTGTGACTTATGATTTCCAATTAAACTGTTTTGTTCTTCGTTATTAATAATTCCTTTGTCTCACACCTCTGTTTACTGTCTCTATTATACATTTCTCCTACTTCCTTCTCTTGCTTTGTGTGCTACATGGAGTGTGGCGACTTGAACTCCCGCACATATGTGCAAAGTTCTATGTCGAAAACAGACAGACAGACTCAATGGCCCACGAATTCTAACTTCCACCAACTCGTGATTTTAGCGCGACTAGCACCAACCAATGTCATCGGTGAGTATTTGTCGTCCCTGCCAACCGGATGGACCCCAGTGGTCAAGACTTCTCACTAGAACTCCAGGAAACTCCGTCCTGGTTTGCAGGGATTTGATTTGCTGTTTTTTTCAAGCCTGACCACGGATTGATATCAGTTAGAGAACTATTGAAAACCAGGGTGTAGTGGACGACTGTATGCCCCAGTTTGGGACTCTACAGCAGTACGCATTCATGAACTCCCACCGTCAGGGATCGAATCCAGAAGCTTCAAGTTATAAGGCAAGCTTGTTGACTATTCAGTCAATAAGATGAAATCCAATGTCCCATCACCTTTAACTTCTGTCGATTCATGATATAAAGCGTGACCCGCCCATGCAATGTGTCATCAAAGAGTATTTGTCCTCACACCAAACTTGGTGCAAAAGTATAAAGTGTGTGGAAAACGCCGTTTAAGAAAGGTGTGTGACAGTGTTAAACAAACTCTCTACTTTGATTGGACACTATTAACTAGTGTGACGTGTCTAGTCCTCCTTTCTTTGGTGCAGACTGATTTCTATCAGTCAGGTATTTGCAATGTGGCCACCATTCTAGGTAGCTCACCATCACCACGGTGCACATTGATTTGATGATAGTTGATAGTTGGAGGTAATCGGGCACAGGAAGCGTTGCTTGACCTAGGTTCCGTGCTAGTTGGCACTCATCAGCAAGGCGTATACGCCCACTGCAGTCCTACAGGAGGTCAATCGCGAGCTCGAATAGCTCAGTGATAATGTGTCTGACTGCAGCACTGGGTGACGCCGCGGGTTCGAATCCCAGAAGGGACATGATTTCCTTCAAGGATGGAGATACGCCTTGCTGGTGAGTGCCAATTAGCACGAAACCTAGTTCAAGCAAGGCTTCCTGTGGCCGATTGTCTCCAACTATAAAATATCATCAAACTCTCTACTTTAAAATATTTCAAGAAAAACCCTCAGTTAAAAAACAGGAGCGTCGGTATTCCTTCAAATGATTCTACTATTTAGGTCCACATCATCTGTAGTTACAAGCGAGATAGGGATTTATGGTTAGAGTTATGTCATGCTTTTAAGCAACTTTTCGGGATTAAATCTATTCCATAAACCCAAAACAGCATTAGTTATGCTTAATTGTCGACTCTGTTTCTCCGCCTGAACTCTGATTGAACACCATACAGTCGTTGAGTCAGTTATACTCTTCAAATGATTATTATACTTTTCATAAACTGGCAATTTATCGCCCTATAGGAACTTAATAATATTGTACAGCAACAGAGATCTCTGGGAGCGAACCAACCCAGCAGGAACCGATTGTGAAATAAATAGGTAGGAAGAAATGGAAGAGGTGGATTGGCCATACTCTGAGGAAACCATCAAGTGACATCACTCGAGTGGAACCCGGCCGAAAGGGAAGCGGCGAGTTGGTCGTCAGTGCAAGGGTGACTTGGCGGAGGTCATGTGAAGAGGAGATGAAAGCGTGTGTGGGCAGACTTGGAGCCAGGTGAAGACTCTAGCAGAGAACCGAACGCAATGGAGACTTGGGCGGCTGAAGCCCTATGTTCCTCTAGGAATTAAAGTAAACAATAATAATCATAATAATAATACATGAACAGATTATCACTTAACGGTGAGCATTAAGAATCTTAAAAAAAAAGTGATGAATACAATTCCAGCTTACTTGAATTGATCATGTTGATGATTCGAAACTTGACCAACTACACACATACAAGATGGTAGAAGTCGATATACCTTAGAATTACCATTTCTTCTCACGAATACAACATCATCATCTTCTAGTTCATCATTAGAACCTGTTGAAGCGGACAGCTCTTCAATAGACTTTAAGCCAACATTTTTTCCACGTCGAAGAACAACTGCACTAGCTCCAGCACTTCGACAGTATACGGCACCTTGACCAGGTCTAATTTCAAATTGACTAATCATTGTACCGACTGGTAATGCACCGATAGGATAAGCATCACCTTCTTTTGGTTCAACTATAGTAGTAGGAGAAAAAGAAAAAGAAATAAATTTCACCGACTTGACTTGCTGCTTATGCAACAGTCTGAATAATTTCAAAAAATACTGTGAATGAAGCTGCCCAAGAAATCAATAATTTGACTACCGATTTCTGGTTCACTTGGTGGCTATTGATGGATAGATGTCTTGAAGTTGTAATGAGAAGTCGTGACCAGGGAGGTGGGGGGAGCACTATTTCAGAGTTAAGCAGGCAGTTCATCGGTGGCATTGGCTGAGATTAAAAAGTAGACTGACATATTACTCAGCAAACACTTCCAATTGCATGCAGCTAGCTGGCAGTGAATCATATGCTATATTTGTAAGTGCTAGTGGGTTCTTTTTATTACAACTTGATTCCACACTGTATTTTTTGGTACAGGTATGGAATTTTCAGCATGTGATAGCGGTAGCCCAAATTTTGCAGGCCGACCATAGCATATCAGGTGTGCGTCGGCTGGGTATCGAACCCCGGACCATGTGCATGATCGGCAGGGTTCAAACCCCTGACCCACTTGGTTGGAAGTCGAGCACCTAAACCAATGACGCAGCTTCACAGTTATTTATTTATTTATTTAAACACAGAAAAAAACTTGGTACAATATGGCATCAAGAAAGATGCACCACACAATAATAATAAAAAATATCTATCTTATATTAAAAAATATAAGTAGAGAACGGGTAAAGAACTTCATCTGGAGGTAAAAGTAATTTGTAGGAAGTTCAAGAATCATTCGTCAATTATTGTCGGTAAGGGAAGAAAGAAGGAAATTGCAACACGTTCGCCATTGATTACGAGTCGTGACGCATCAACCGATGCTAATCTAGTACAAACATCCTTCATCCCACGGCGCCATGTCATGGACTGACCACCCCTCCGCCTTTTCCATCCCGTCCCAGGGCTAGCGAACGGATACCCCCGGTACGGAAGCCTCTGGAATGACATTCGCAGCACATGTCCAGATGACGACACTCAGTGAATGGTGATCTCCACTGTGTTCAAACACTCGCCCCCCGCAGACCTCAGAACTACTCACGCAAGCAATTCTGCGGAGGCAGCGATGATCGAACACGCAAAGCCGCCACACATCCTCAGCCTACTCGGAGAGGCCAGGTTTCACAGGCGTAGAGCAAAAGACAGCCCTCACCGAAGCATTGTATACCCGACTTTTGACAGCCAGGCTAACGTCGCGACGGCGCCAGAGGTGGCTGAAGTTGATGTATGGAACCCTAGCCTTCATTATACGGTTGGAAATCTCATCCGCCAGCACTCACACAACTACCCAGGTACACAAACTTATCGACAACTTCAAGCGGTTCACCTGCAAGAGTGAGTGCAGGTACAGGCTTCTGCCAATCTTGTAACAGTACTTCGCACTTAGACGGCGCAAAGTACATACCATACTTACAGACACTGATCGCCAACTGATTAAGTGCGATGTCTTGAAGTTCTAACGAGAAGTCGTGACTAGGGAGGTGGGGGACACTATGTCAGAGTTCATCAGTGGCATTGGCTAAGATGAAAAAAGACTAAAATATTAATCGACAAACACTTCCAATTCCATGCAGCTGGCAATGAATCATATGCTATATTTGTAAGGGCTAGTGATACTATCTGAATGACCAAACTTCAATAGTGTGAGGCAGGGTTCAAACCGATGATACAGCTCCACAGTGACAGGGATTAGACGTACCAGTGTAACAGTAGAAGACAAGAGAGTTTGGTAAAGGAATAACATATTGGCCACTCGATACACAGATACGTCTACCATATATATGATTAGAATCACAATTTGCACATATCTTCGGTAAAAGGGGCTACTTTGTCTTTCTTTGTGGTTTCACAGGCATCTCGTTCATTAAATCCATTTCTCCGCTAATCGATATTCTTGCGGATAATTACGCATATTTATATCTGAACCTATTTATATACTGTTTATAAATCCTGTCAGAGTAACCCATGCCATAGAAGCAGAGAATCACACATGTCCACGTAAAGGAGTGTTGGTTTACCTTTTTGAATAGAGTGGAACGTCACTCAGCCTAATTGAAGCCTCACCACCTAAACCTCGGTAGGTAGGGCGGTTTTCGAACCCGTGGTCCGATGGTCGGAAGTATAGAGCCCAGATCAGTGAATCATAGCTCCATCTTTTTACAATACAACTTTTTTTTACAAAACTTATTATCCGAAGCTGATCATTAAAAGGATATCTCGATTAGACGCATACATATATGGACAAATCAATATAATAAATGTTACACACTTTACCTGGAATAGTTGGAATATCCACATGTGAACGGATTATGTCACCAGGTTTCATACTAGTAGTCGCAATAAGCCATCGTTTCACTTCACCTGAAGCTACTAATGCAATGTATGGATGTCTCCACCAGTTTTTTTTAATCTATTAAATTAATAAATTCACAAGTAGAAAACGATAAGTTCATATTGTATATTAACTTACTAATTTATTTGAAATCTGAAATGTAGCTGTGATCTGGTGTGTAAGAATGCACGTATTTCAGTGCGCTAGTGGTCTATACTAGAACGGTGCACGTTCGTAGTTCAGGGATAGAACGCTCGCCATCAACGCACATGGCAGTCGCTCGATTCTCAGCAGACTCACTCCTCGATGACATTCTGGAGTCAGCTCTGAAGAATGTGCGTGAAGGTGGTGTATATCTGCTACCTGGAGATAGACTTTTCGACCTCGAGTATGCAGGCTGCCCAAATCGCACTTAATCAGTTGGCGATCAGTGTTTGTAAGTATGGTATGTGCTTTGCACCGTCTAAGTGCAAAGTACTGTTACAAGATTGGCAGGAGTTTGTACCTGCACTCACTTTTACGGGTGAAGTTGTTGATAATTTTGTGCATCTGGGTAGTTGTATGAGTGCTGGCGGAGGGGTAACGGATGAGATTTCCAACCGTATAATGAAGGCTAGGGTGGCATACATCAACTTGAGCCATCTCCGGCGCCGTCGTGAAGTTAGCCTGGCTGTCAAAGGTCGGGTATACAATGCTTCGGTGTGGGCTGTCTTTTGCTCTACGCCTGTGAAACCTGGCCTCTCCGAGTAGGCTGAGGATGTGCGACGGCTCTGCGTGTTCGATCGTCGCTGTCTCAGCAGGATTGCTTGCGTTCGATGGCATCGTCGCGTAAGTAATTCTGAGGTTCGGCGGCGTGTGCTTGAACACAGTGGAGATCACCTTTCACTGAGTGTCGTCATCTGGAAACACCAGCTCCCGTGGCTTGGACATGTATTGCGAATGTCATTCCAGAGGCTTCCGTACCGATGGTCTCTGTTCGCTAGCCCTGGGACGGGATGGAAAAGGCGGACGGGTGGTCAGTCCATGACGTGGCGTCGTGGGATGAAGGATGTCTGTACTAGATTAGTATCGGTTGGTGCGTCACGACTCCCTGGTTGGGGTCCGCGAGATAGCTCGAATCGATGGCTCGAAACGTTATCAGATATGGCCAAGAATCGTAATCAATGGCGAACGTGTTGCAATTTCCTTTTTTCTTCCCTTCCTGATGACAGTTAACGAATACTGTCTGAACTTGTTAAACATGACTGTTTTCCTTCTTGATGAAGTTCTTTTTCCGTTTTCTGCTTATATCTTTTACTTTTGATCTATGTTGTTTTATTATTATTGTGTGGCGCATCTTTCTTGGTGCCATATTGTACCAAGTTTCTCTGCGTTTAAATAAATAATAATAAATAAACACCTCATCTGGCCGGTAGGAATCCCGGAAAGTAAGTAAGGATGGATGTGTGGCTAGCAACCTCATCCCATAAAAAGACAATACAAGCGATATCAAAACTTAAAGCTTGAAGTCCTATGTTCCACTCGGGATGCAAGAAAATAAAGAGAAAGATATAAGAGTCGCATCCAGTACCCACCGTTTCAAACACCAAAGCGTTTCGACCCTCCTTTTACGATAACCATCACTCACTGGGAATGCAGGTACGTTCAGGTAACAAGTCTCAAATAGGACGAAGTGCGCATCCTGGATTCCACCATGCGTTGCCATCCACCCATATTAGTTCAATTTAATTCTTAGACATCAATGGAGCGTCCGCACTAGGAGATAACATGACCTCTGGTAACAAGTCACAAGAGCAGACAAGTGACCAACAAACTTTCTGACAAAAAGAAACAAAACTAGATTAGAGGTAACAACATTTGGTGGAGAAGTTCGACGTACACCGCGCTTACGAAGTATTGAAGTTGGACAGGTAGACAGAGACAACCGATAGATGTTATCACTAGGAAACCTTCACTGAACGCTTCTTAATTTTGATAGAATGTGATACCACTATAACTATAGGCTATAGATAGATATTGATGAAAAATATCAGATAGTTAGTAAGTGTGATAATGATTTTAGTAGGGGTTTATAAGTTCCATCACAGATCAGTATTAGTTAGAGAATCAATGAAGACAAGCACAGAGAGTACTGGACATCTGTTTTGTCCTAGTTTAGGACTTTCAACCAACACACACCGTCAGAGATTGAACCCAACACCTACCAGTTACAAGACGAGCTCATTGACTATTCCGCCACTGGGACGGAATTTTCGCCTACAATTTCTGAGAGGGATGAGTGTAGAGTGATTTACTAAATATCAAGAAGTTATTAGTCAAAGAACACGAAAGATTGACAATGTAGATAGGTACGTATTATTGGGAGTACAACAACGCAAGCTATGTGTTCCACTTTATGCTACTGACATGCACGCACAAACAGACACATTGAAGAGATCTTAAATGAAAACATATTGAAGTACAGATTCAGTTTCTTTCTATTTCACTGGCATCACTGCCTCAACTCTGTTCTTTGCTGTTCACTAGACTTACTATAAAATGGAATACAGAGTACAAATAAAACGAATTTAAGCATTCTATGCCTCCGAATGAGTCCGTGTATGTTGTTAACGATAATTTCTTATTTGGGCATTATGAGATAATATCATTGATAACAAAGAGGAATGGTAAGATGTTTAGTTAACTCTACTACTGTGGTGAGAGCTGGCTGCTAGCCAAATCGGTAGACAGTAATTTACGTCAGTGTGTACGTCGCCAATATTGGTCGTGAGAAAAATGAAACCGAAGACTGATTCAACAACCAATCACAGCAGACTTTGCGTAGGCGGATACACAATTTGCAGATAGATAATCTGAACTTCAATAAACGGCCACAAAGAGATGAAAGATTAACACGTTCAGCGAGAAACCACCAATCAGAAAACTGTGTTTGTTTGCTTACAACGATCTATAATAATGTACATGAAAATCTATAAATATCTGTTGATGATTTCCTAAATAAACGATCTGTTGTTACACTACTACTAAATAGATGAATCTCCTTCCTACTTACTGACCAAGTATTTATGACTCAGCCAGCCTGGAGTAACCATTTCAGAAGTAGTTTAGTTTAAAACAGTTTATTCTAGCATAGATAACCCCAGCTAAATTCGGAATCGATTGTCCAGTTAGGCTGGAAAGAGATGAAATGTACTCAGAATACGATATGAAACCGACTATTGATCCGAACCGCCACCTGCAGGCAATCCCATTTTACCGAATTGATGTTCAATTAACCACAGAAAAATCTGTGATTTTAAAGGATTAGATAGCATGTCTCAGAATTGATGAAAATGTTATAAATGCATTTATGTTTCACTTGTTTGATCTCTCCTTCATCTCATATCTGATTGAATGATTACTTCTTCAAGTAATAAATGAAACAGGAAGAGCGTTAGTGTCACACAGCCGCTGAGCCCAGACGACAAATGCTTGACGCCAGTCACACACCTGGCCACTTAGGAGTTGTGTCCGTAATGAAGAACTCACCGCTGGCTACAAACATCCATGGGATAAGTCGCGATATACACATTTGCTAGTTAACCTTTACTAACCTCTCCTCCCCAGAACAGAGAGGCAGCATAAACTGGCTTACTGCTAGTCGTCCGACGGAAACAACTTATCATTATTCTCCAAATGGACGTCTTCACACTTACATCTCCCACATAGTGCAAAAAACTTACACTATGATGGTAACTGCTTCTTATCTAAGCAACCTTTTACAGTACTGTAGGACGTGAAGGAACATTTCATCCATCTGGTGTAACTCGTAGAGTCATTGAGATAAGCGAGCCCGACCACCGTTACAAGGTATAGCAGCTATCAGCCGGGCTCTTATATATCACTTTTCCACTTCTGACCATATTATCTCCACTTCTTTTACAACTTTTTTTATTTATCTGAGGTGTGTTCACATGGACCAATAAGCTAAGGTTAGATTTTATTTGAATACCATATATACCAACTAAAGACCGAATTTAAAAAGGAGGTTAGCCGTCAACCCAAATACCTCAGTGGTAGTGTCTCTGAATGCAGCAAGTACTACGTGACGCGGATTTGAATCCCGAAGGAGATGTCAGTTCCTTCAGTGCTGCAGATATGCCTTACAACTAACGACTGCCAACAAGCAGGAAACCTGCGTCCAACGCCTCTTTCCAATTGGCTCCAACTACCACCTAACATAAACTGCTGTAATTATTGTATATTATAATTAATAAAAGTGTAGAAAGCAATAAACCAGAATAGGGGAGGTGTAACAGCATAGAAAATCTTGTCTAGTTCACGAGGTCATTAGGCGGTCATGCATCTGAAAAAAGAGGAAAGGTTAGGAGTGGAATTAGCAACCCTCCCGCCCCCCGACAAAAAAAGACAAAAACAATCCATCAGCTACAGAAACTTCAAAATATAGAGAATAAACTTATTCCTCTCTAGGATCGGAGAGATGAAATGATGCAGACTGACGAAATCCACTGGGAAGCAAGGAAAAGGAAGGACTTCACGTGGAAATCAGGAAGACAGAGTAGAGGTGATGAACATACACTCAAGTACCAACAACAATGAGCAGCAATCCCTATCAACCGAAGAAATCTAAAGGAAGTCAACAATAGTTTCAAATACAGCTGACAGCACGGATGACGATGTCAAAGCCAGGTAGGCTTTCATTAATCAGAAACTAGTGTGGAAATCTGTTACAATCAGCGTGAAGAGTAACATTAGGATCGGTTGGTTGGGCAGAAGAGATAAGCAAGAAGGAGCACTGACAGTCAACCAACCAAGAACCTATAGCGCAACAAATATGCGTCCTATCTACCGTGTGAAGTGGTATAATAAGGTGAGCAATACTAAGGTTAGGCATCGTCGAGTGCTAGGTAAGGAGGGGAAATCAATAGACGAAGCTGTGAAATTACATCGACTGAGATGGTTAGGATATGTGTTACGTATGCCTAGTCATCGCCTTCCTCGACGGGAAATGTTAGCTGATATAGGGTCAGGCTGGAAAAGAGCTAGCGGCGGTCAAACGAAAACATGTCACCAGTCAATGAAATCTACAACAGTTAGTCTAAGCCATGTAGGAAGGTGTAGACTTCCTGACTGGTTGGGGTCCTCGGGACAGTAAAAACCAATGGTTGGAAACAATTAGTGATATGGCTCACAATGGTTGTCAATGCCTGATGCAGATGCATCCACTCCTTGTGACCTATAATTTCCAATAAAACTATATTGTTCTTCGTCATTACTATACTTTTGTCTCACACCTCTGTTTACTGTCTCTATTATGCATTTCTCCTACTTTCTTCTCTCGCTTCGTGTGCTACATGTAGTGTGGCGACTTGAACTGCCGCACATATGTGCAAAGTTCTATGTGGAAAACAGAAAGACAAATACGCAGAGGGGAATGAAGATGGCCTGGGCAAACAGTGAGACGGGTGAGTGGCACCAGGCTCTAGAGAGAAGCATAAACGGGTTGATCTTAGTTAGGTATCGGGGTGATATGGAGGAGGTCGTCTGAAGAGGAGATGAAAGCCTGCTAAAGAGGATTGCAGAGATGAGGGTGGAAGCGAAATGCGCTGATGACGTATAAAAATTCCACTCGGCACCCAAAGGAATAATAATAACAGCATAGACCGAATTCGAATCCATCATCTTTCATTATCCAACAGAACACTTACTTGTAATACTATTTCTTCAAAGACTTTTTTAGTCGGTAAATGCCTAGAACGATTATGATCCACCATAAACCAAGGACGATTTAATCCAGTTGTAACATGTTTATATTGAATCTTACCTGAACAGGAAAATAAGATTTAAAAATTATTATTATTATTATTATAAACATTCATCAATTCAATTGAATTTCAGATTTTTCCCGTCGATTGATTGGACCGAAGTGCTCGGTCTCAGGTTGACTGGGTTCGAGCCTCGGTGGGAACATCATCACTCACTGAGAAATGCAGGTACATCCAGATGGCGAGTCCCAAATAGGACGAAATGCGCATCCTGGATTCCACTGCTAGTCACCATCCACCAATTAAATTCTTCAATTCAATTTGTATTTTCCTGTAGAATGATTGGACCAAAGTGCCCGGCCTCTGTTGACATGCCAGGTCCTTGTGTGGAAAACTTCAACGATATCTGAGTATCAGTATAGATACGATCACTTACTGGATGGGGTAAATCGAAGACTTACAAACGAAAACCGACAAACTGGTCGAAGAAGCAGCAAAGACAGGACTCCAGGTGAACATAGACAAGACGGAAGTTATGAAAATAACCAACCAACAACAACAGCAACATCCAGCGCCAATCACCATCAACGGGAGGGATTTGAAAGAGGTTACTTCTTTCACTTATCTAGGTAGGGAGCATTGTCTCAACTACAGCAGGAACGGACGAGGATGTCAAATCGAGAATCGGGAAGGCGAGAAACACATTCATCAACCTGAAACCAATCTGGAAATCTTCGTCACTCCTCAGCATCAACAACAAAATTCGGATTTTGAATACGAACCTCCAGTCAGTTCTTCTATACGGATCAGAAACTTGTCGGGTCACAAAGAATATTTCCAACAGCCTGTTGCAGACCTTTATCAACAACTGTCTTCGCTGCTATACTGAAGATCAGATGGCCGGAAAGAATCACCAACAAGAAACTATGGGAAGAAACAAAACAAAAAGCAATCGCTCAACAAATATGCAGGAGAAAGTGAAGATGGATTGGACACTCGCTGAGGAGGCCGTTGGGTGACATCGCGCGTCAGGCCAACGCTCGAGTGGAACCCGAAAGGGAAGCGGCGAGTGGGACGTGAGTGCAAGGGTGATATGGAGGAGATCGTGTGAAGAGGAGTTGAAACAGTATGGACTAACATGGATGCAAGTGAAAAGTACAGCAGAAGACAGAAGCAAGTGGAGATGTGCATTTGAAGCCCTATGTTCCACTAGGAACCCAAGGGAACAATAATAATAATAAATACTGGATGGGGTGCAGGTAAATCCAGACGACGAGGCCCTTACAGAATGGAATATGCATCCTGGATCCCTATGCTAGTCATCACCCACTAAATTACCTGAAGAATATTATTATTACTTACTCAAATAATCCTTTGGTGTAGGGAAAAATAAAACCAACATAATTAATGACTAGTGCTCACAACCTCTGTCTCTCTCTCTTTCGTAGACGAATATCGATAACATTTTGAAGTGATAGGTTGGAACACCACACCACCGCCGCCTGGGAAGCAGCACGTACATTCAGCCGACAAGTTCAAAACAGGACGAAATGCGCATCCTGCATTCCACCGTACTAAACCATATCACATTTCAGTGCATATTAAAGTCTATATATCAAGAAACCGAAACTAACCTGACACAGACAGACAAACAGACAGAAAGAGAGCAAAATACACCCAAATTGTAATAGTTATTTATGTTGAGAGTTGAGAGACTTTAGATTCGAAGAACATCCTACATATTTATTGTGTCACGCACAAATTGCTTGAATTACTACATCAAAAAATGGAGAATTTCTTGCATAAATCATCCCCTGTGTCTTACAATCTATTAATCCATGTATCCTACCCATTCTTCTGTATCCTTTCCTCTTATTCTTCCCAGTGTTTCTCAGAGAGAAAAAACTATCCCATACTACATAGGATTTTGAAAGCATTAAAACAGGGTAGGTGGTATACCTTTGAGCCAGTTAACGGACTCAGTTGTTCGTGCAAGCAGTTAGCTATGGATAATGCTATCGGATACTGAACATCCTCTCTACTAGCAACTTTTTCCCCGTATGTCTTTAGGAATATTATAACAGAGTGTTACTGGGTTGTCTAGAATGCGCCCTAAGACACGACACTGTGACCAAATGATCATTTTGAAGTATCCCCCACCACACTGAGATAGATCAAAAAGTTAAACTACAGGAAAAGAAGACAACCGACGACAACAATTATGAGACAAAATACATGGTATATCATGTTTACAAAACATCAGGAATTTATACCATAAATAAACAAATCTGATAGGTTATATGATATCATAGTCCCCCAGAAAACTAAGCCAAAAATAAACAAATCACAAACTGTCCAATTAGATCAGGTTATTATATCATTGCTTGCATAAATAACGACCGACTTCACAGTTAACAAAGAAGACTTGTCTATCTTAACAAGGCAAAAGTAGACTTGATTTCATTCGAATTTATGGTTGTATAGATACTAAATACGAAAGTTCAACCATACCATATTTTGCACGGGCAATGTTTAAACAGAGCATGTGCATGATCTGCGAGATCATGCACATGGTAAGGGGTTCGATTCCCGGCGAAAACGCACTCCTTTACCTCGCTAAGCCAGAAATAATGCTGGTGAAGAGGAAAGGTTGGGCATGAGGCTAGCAACCCCATCCTGTAAAATAAACACTGCTACAGAAACTTCAAGCCACTAGCTTGAAGCCCTATGTTCCACTGGGAAACGTGAAGGAATAAAAAAATGTGTAAAGAAAACAACTAAGAAACCCACCTTTGTAATCTATATATACACAGTAGGGAGTAAAGACAAATACTCGCCACCGACGAAATTGGCTGGAGGTGGTTACGCTAAACTCATGAATGGGCAGAAGTTAGAATTCATAAAGTGGCCATTGAGTAAGGTCCCATTGGCTGAATAATCTACCAGCTTACCTTGTAACCGGAAAGTCCTGCCTTCGTGCCCCACACTGGTTGCGTACTACCGATTAGTCGCAAGCACTGGGATGAGACAGCTGTTCAGTACTCTCCATGCTGATTTTCAATGGTTCTCTAGCTGAAATCAAACTCTTGAATACAGCTAATTATTTCTAGGAATCACTTATGCAATATTATAACCACATTAGTAGTTTTGTTGACTTCAGTTTCTGTCATTATCTACTTTTCGAACTTTTAAATGGTTTCAGGAGTGAAATTCTTTAGTTCCCAGAGGAACATAGGGCTTCAACTGCACTTCTCCACTGCACTCGGTTCTCCCCCCAAACGTTTTCACCTGGCTCCGCATCTGCCCACATGCTTTCATCCGCTCTTCACATGACCTCCACTATGTTATCCTTGTACTAACGACCAACCCACCGCTTGCTTTTCGGGTTCCACTCAAGTGGCTGGCGTGTGATGTCACTTGGTGGTTTATTTTCTCAGAGTATGGCCTTCAATCCGCTTCCATTTCTTCCTGCATATTTGTTGCACAATCGGTTCCTGGTTGTTTCGCTCCCAGAGATCCCTGTTGCTGATCTTTTTTGACCAACCATCTGAAATTGAGCGAAGTATTGAGCGAAGACAGCTAGCTGTTGATGAAGGTCTGTAGTTTGTTCGAAGTGTCCTTGTGACGCGGCGCCAAGTCTCTGACCCGTATACTAGCACTGAATAAAGTGATTATCTCATCATATACGAACATGAGAAGAGGAGAAAGAGAAAAACGAAATGAACATATACATATATACATATATCTACCATCAGGTCCTCTTCCTCCAGTTCGTACCAATGGTAAAGCATCCACAGTGTATTGATTTGGATCTCTTAATTTACATATTGCCCAATAACGACTAACTGGTCGAGGATACGTAATACCAGGATGACGATTTAAACTGCAACTTGTCGATAAATGACATTTACCATTATTATTATCAGTCTGTAGAATCTTCAGTCTAAACACGCGTTTTTTTTTAATAAATAAACACGAGGAGAAGAAAATAAAAAAAACAGAAAAAAAGAGAAAATTCAAGTTTACTAGAATGAAAATTATTTCATTTTTAGCATACATTTAGAAGCGGATTTAATTTAAAAAAAGAGAAAAACATATTTTTAGAACCAGGTGGGATTCGAACCATGAGACCTAATGATTGAAAGTCTATTGTTTAAGAGCCTCCAAAGCCTCAGGATGGTCGGGGGTGGGTGCCTTGCGCTGCGGGTTGGCCATCCCTCCGCACACCTCTTGAAATGCTCCCATATGACCGGGCGTCTTACATAGCCTCTCCTGAGGAAGTCCTACTCACTGCCTTCACGTGGCGGAGGTGTTTTTCACCAAAGTGAGAGGGCGAAAGCGGACGCCCGGCGCTCTTCACCGGGTTGACTGTCCATTGGATGACAGTCTAGGGGAGATGGCTAAACCCTGATTCAAAACCTCCAACGACTGGCGTATGAAGCTCACCGGCAGACGTATGGACAAAGGGCTTGTTGGATGTCCTGGATGTCTGACCCCATTCAAAAAGGTGTATGAACCGAACTCCGGTCACCGGCTGCCAATGGATAGTGGACTCCCTACTCCACTCCTACTGCCTTGTAGGTCACACTTGGTTGTGTAAAGGCTAGAGCTGCACTCTCAAACAAAAGGCCGAGCGATTCTGGGGACATCACTCGTACCAAATTCCCATGAAACTTCATGAACTCTCTCCGTCTACGGACTCCGTCTGTGGAACAAGAATTGGATAACCCTGTCGCAAAACCTTGCATCAGATCGCCGCGCCTGGGCAGCGATGATTCGAGATGTTCATGAAGCCGGCTCATCCTTCCGTAGGAGATAGCCGAAGTAAAGTAAGGTAAGTAATCAACCTTATCGTCAATACACTGTAGTAAAATAAAAAAATAATTCAGCAACATTCGTAAACACAGACTTTATCCTTTATAGAAAGCAAAAGATGTAAACGATAAGTTCAACATCTCATGAAGTTGAATTATTCTTGTATAATGGAGTGTAGATTTATAGCTCTGATGGATAATATTGATGTAGTTGTGTTCTCTGAGCTGATGACCTTGAACGTGATTGGTTGTCTTTGTGTATTTTCTCACCCTCTAGTGTAAACTAAACGGTGTGATGAAAACACACAAAAACAACCAATCACGTTCAAGGTTACCGCCAGGGGAGATGACCAATAAACCCGTGGAGAAAATTTAAAAGATCACATCAAATTGAAGTTTGCGCTGAGGATGTTGCCTAGTCATGCAATGAAAGTCTCGCAAGTAAACCATTCAGCTCAGAGAATACAACTACACAGAAATTATTCTTGTGCTTCAGTTTAGATTAGGTCACAGACCAACATCAGTCAGAGAATCATTACAAGCCTAAGAGTACTGGACAGCTGTTTCGTCCCAGTTTGAGACTCTTCATAAAGCGCACCCAGCTCAGGGGTTAAAACCTAGGACCTTCTAGTTACAAGACGAGCTCGTAGACCATTACGCAACTAGGACCCCATCCAATGACCAGTCCATGAATTCTAACTTCTGCCAATTCCTGATATAGCGCGACCACTTCGCAGTGTCTTCGATGAGTGGTGAGGCAGTAACTCATCGAAAAAAGACACTGCGAAGTGGTCGCACAATGTCATTAAATTGGCAGAAGTTAGAATTGTACTGATGAAGAGTCCCAAACTAGGACGGAGGAAACAGCTGTCCAGTACTCCCTGCAGGTTTTCCAATGGTTCTCCAACTGATGTCAGCTCCTGATGAAATCCTCCAACCAATCAAACAAAATCCTTACAAAACCAATACATGACAATTTATGAAGTCTTTGACTCTTACTTTCAGTCACATAATGGAAGTGTAGACTGCCTGGTTGAAGTCCACGGGTTGCTAAGATCCAGTGACTGGAGACTATTGGTGATATGGTTCAAAATCATTCTTTGTGACCTCTGACATCTTTAATTCCTCGACTCTTTCCATATAACTATTCTTTCTCTTGCACATTTATGCTCACTACAGTTCCTTTGAATTTCTTACTTCTCCCCTTCGTCTAATTCTGTGTGCTGCATGGAGTGTGACAACTTGATCTGCTTCACTTCTGAGCACAGTTCAATGTTATAACACAGTTTGATGGTTAATAAACATTTCACACAGCATAAAATGAACAATACTCAGTGCCAGCACAAATAACTTACAGAGTAGCTTATGGGAGAACAATTACGTAATTTAAGATTTTAACATGCTTCCATCAAAATGTTGACTCTAAAGTTCACTCAAAACAGGGGAACACTTGCGACGACGTAAACAGAGTACAGGAACACTTCTTTTCTTATTTTTTTGTGTGGTTGTATTCTCCAAGCTGGATTGGTTTAGTTGCAAAGCTTTCGTTGTCTTGCTGGACAACATTCCTTAGAGTCTCCTTAAATTGGAGCACGTGTTGACGGCGTTGTCTAGTGGGATAATGAAAGCTTCACGATTAAACCATCCAGTTCAAAGAACACAACTACAGTAAAATTATCCACCTGAGCTACAGATCTTTTCCATTATATCTAAACACTTCTTTTCCAATTCCTTAGCGCCCCAAGTGGAATATTCGGCTACATATTTGACTAAAGCAAGAACAACAGTGGTTTGTGCAGAATAATATGGTACCATCATTGTTTATTTCGTTGGCTTCTCATCAGCTGCTGCTTACAGCCTAAATAAATTATGAAGTTTATGTACAGAAGTCGACAGATACCCTTCTCATGTTAACAACTCCAACTGTGTATACAAATTGACGTGTATCTGCGGGAGCAGTTACATTGGGAGAACAGAAAGAAGCGCACACCTCTGATTTTCTGAACATGTGCCGAAAAGCCTACGTCTTAAGGGAACGAATTCATATAATAGCGCTATTACCAGATATCTCCAATACGGGTCATGAGGTGGAAATTGCGAAATCCTTTGAAATTATCAACAGATAAAGGGGCTCGATTTTCCTCAAGTTTGCCGAAGCAATTTCTATCAAACGCTTGAAACCAGATTTATGTGTTCAGAAAGAAGCAGTTGTTAGTCTTTCCTTGCCCTGTCTGGTAACTGGATTTCTTTATTCTTTCTTTCATTTGATTACGTAATCTTTGGCTTTAACCTCACCCCTTTGACATACTGTGATTTTGTTTGTCTCTTGTTTCTATGATTTGAGTTGAACTCAGTACATTGTTACCTAATTTATTAGTCACTCAGCATCTTACTCATCTCTCGTCTTTATTACGTAACTCCTTTACCATTGTATGCATACACTTATTTTGTTTAAACTTGAACTGCCTGTGTAAAAACTATATAAGCGCAATTTTCTGAGCACTGTTCACTAATTGCGGAACTTTCTGTCAACTGACATCATGAAAAAATTTGCAAGTATGTTAAAACGTTTCTGTACATAAACCTCATAATTTATTTAGGCTGTAAGCAGCAGCTGATGAGAAGCCAACGAAATAAACAATGATAGTACCATCTTCTTATTCTGCACAAACCACACTGTTGTTCTCGCTTTATTCAAATTCATCAAAGGGAATAAATGCATGAAGTTACATATTTGACCACTGAAGTTTAAGTAACCATGGTACTGTTTTAACAGGGTGGGGTTGCCAGCCCCACGATCAGCCCTCGCACTCTACCACGTTTTTTCTACAGACTAGGTAAGGTTGAGAAGTGAGTCAGTGGCCGGGGACTGAACTCGGATCACGTGCATGGTTGTGAATCTATACTACTGGCCATAAACAGTGATGTCAAAGAATTATTTGCTTAAGAAAATTCTGGGAGTACTGGACAGCTGTTTCGTCCTAGTTTGGGACTCTTCAGCAGACCCAGTGGCTTTATGGTATACGAGCTCGCCTTGTAACCAGAAGGTCCTGGGTTCGAATCCTGGTGGGTGCGTACTGCTGAATAGTCCCAAACTAGGACGAAACAGCTGTCCAGTACTCCCTGCAGGTTTTCCAATGGTTCTCTAACTAATGTCAGCTCATGATGAAAATCCTGTAACCAATCAAATCCCTACAAACCAACACTTGAATAAGAAAATCCTTTCATTTTTTTCATTCAGAAAAACCAAAAATGAGAAGTACAACTCACGCATTTGATTGCACTACCGTAGAATTTAATGGTTTCAATAAGTTGAATCCTCCAATAACACTAGATAATATTTTTAAGTGCTTGAAATTCGTGGAAAAATTCATTTAAACACCTAAAATCAGAGAAGGAAAACAAAAAGAAGTTGGGGCGTGGGGAATTAAATGCCTTAGATGTGGATAAATTCAAAACTCTCATATATTGAAATACCGACGCCACATGGATAACGAAATGAACAGTTGTCAGAAGAAAGCACAATCGAAAAAAGTGAGTGTCAAAAAAAGGATGAAACATTACAAAAATAAGTGAACTATACATAGATTGGTCATTGGGGGAGGAACCAATATCATTTGTCTAGTCCTGAATTAGTGCGTCGGTGGCACAGCCGTAGAATGCTCGCCAACCACGCAAGTGGTCCGGGATTCGATTCCCGGTCACTGACGCGCTCCTTTACCTCGAGATATAAATATATATACATATTTATATATATATATCACGGGTAACATCAACCTTTTTTTCCTTTACTTTCTCAGTGGAACATAGGGCTTCAAGCTAGATGCTTAAAGTTTCACTAGCAGCAGCATTTATTTTTACGGGATGGGGTTGCTAGCCCTATGGCCAACCTTCCTTCTTTACCAGTCTCATTACTGGCTTAGCGAGGTAAAGGAGTGCCTCGTCGGCCGAGGATTGAAACCCGAACCACCTGAGTGATTGGCGAGCATTCTACCACTATGCCACCGACGCCCAAACAACCGACTGCTCAACATATATGCAGAAAGAAATGGAGATGTACTGGACACACACACACACCAAGGGGATCATTGAGTGGAATCGCATACCAGGCCCTTGAGTGGAATCTAAATTGTAAAACGAGTTGAGCGTGGATCCAAGGGTGATATGAAGGAGATTGTGTGAGGAGGAGATGAGAAGAGCTTATTGACAATCATGGAGCCACATAAATAGGACTGCAAACAAAAAAGTGAAGTGGCGATGTGGTTTTGAAGCCGTGTGAACTCAAGGGAACAGTAACGATAAACTGACGATAAAACATGTAGTCCCACAAGTGGTTTCCATGACTACTGCTACTGCTGTTATTAACGATCAGGAAAAGAATATCGACCTCTAAGAACATTTTATCTGTCTGCATGTGTATTTTCGACATAGAACTTTGTACCGATGTGCAGCAGTTCAAGTCGCCACACTCCCTCCTTGTAGCACACAAAGCAAGAGAAGAAATGCATAATAGAGACAGTAGACAGGGATATGAGACAAAAGGAATAGCAATAACGAAGAACAATATAGTTTCATTGGAAGTTATAAATCAAAAGGAGTGGATGCATCTGCAACAGCAAGTGACAACGATTTAGCCATTTCATCGATTGTCTCCAGCCATTGGTTTTTACCGTCCCGAGGACCCCAACCAGTCAGGAATTCTGCACCACCTACGTGGCTGGCTGAGTTTCAACTAACTGTTGTGGATTTCATTGACTGATGAAGTCATGTTTTGGCTTGACCACTACTAGCTCTTTTCCAACCTGACCCTATGTCAGCTAACATTTCCCGTCGAGGAAGGCGATGACTAGGCATACGTAACACATGTCCTAACCATCTCAGTCGATGTAGCTTCACAGTCTTATCAATTGATTTCCCCCTCCTTACCTAGCACTCGACGACTAACCTCAATATTGCTTATCCTTAATATGTCATTTCACCCGCGAGACAGAACGCAGACACTTATGATCGAAGACAGCCAACCTTTTCATGTCTTTCACTTTCAATGGTCGTGTCTCACAGCCATAAAGTAGGAAGGAGCGGACTGGTGAGCAGTACACCCGCCCTTTTATGCAACAACAACAACAACAGTCCTTACTTTACCTATTGGTTGAGAATGAAATCAACTGCAATTCAAAGATTAATATATTTGCATATAATAAAACACTAAATTAAATAAATGAATAAATATTTTGTATATCAAGCATACAAACTGATATTATGATTCTTCAAACAAAACAAAATAAAGGAGAGAAAAAAATCAATTTCATTGATTTTTCTATTTTTATTTTCACATAATACAACAACACTAACTGAATTAAATATATATACACACGTGGGGATCACAGTTACTACTACCATTACATGATATGCACAGAAGTCGATTCTATTGTACATAATATGAGGTAGGAGAGAAGTGAGAAAACAGGTACCTATTACTTATAAAATGACTACATAATAACTGACTATGCAGTACTAACTGTACAGCTAACAGATACAGTGTGTTTGTGTGTTTGAATGCTACTACATACGATCACAGTATGACGTAACAAGACGACAAAGGTCAAGCTACATCCACACAGACACAAAAAAAGATTTAAATGCCTGCAATACTTCGGCAATCATTTACAGAATTATCATCCTCAGGATGATGGCGATGGCTATAAGGATTGGCTGTAGTTGTTGTCGGTGTTGATGAGTAAGCTAAATCCAGTAACTGAGGTATCAGCTTCTTCTGTATAGTCGACTTGTCAACACTGTCCAAATGAAGAGAATGAAATAGACCAGAGGTTTTAGCATTTTGCATTGTTTGATGTAGATTTTTTCTATACAGCGGATCATAATGTTGTCGAATTAATCCGCTGACAAGGCCAGTGTAATCACCACAATTGAACATTTCAATCCATTGATTAATTAACTTTGCCGGTTGATATTTTTCTAACCTTTTTTGATTGATTATAAAAAGGAAGAAATAAAAGAAATATCAGAGATCAGTGTGAAATATTCCCATATCATGAATTGAAAAGTCAATCTGAACGGAGAATATTCTTTCAATACATCCTTCTTACAATTATAAAATATAATATTTGTTGGCGCTGCAATAATGATAGCCAGTTATGCGGCGGATACATTCATTTTTACGTAGAATAACAGATTAGTTATGGGGTGTCAAAATAAAAAGTCGTATTTGTGTGACAAACGTGCTAGGGCGCACGATTAAGCAGGTTCGTCTACGGGTTTGAGAACATTTACCAGCTTGGTTCAGCAAGGGGGGGGGGGGAATTAAGTGCATAAAAAGCTCGATACTGGACGTAGCATCGATGTCAACACAGCTTTCAGGTTTATATATCGAATTCCGAAGACATTACCACGTACAGATAGCTTACGTCTGCTACGCATAGCTGAAGCTGTTGCAATAAGATCAACTAAGCCGGAGTTATGTATCCAAAAAGAACGCATTCAGACGCTATTCCTATAGTGGCCAAATTTGGATTAATGTTTCTTCTTCTCACCAAGAGCGGTTCTTCCCCTTAACCCTCTTGGATTTTCTTTTTTTCTTTGCTTATTATTATTCGTCATAATTTATGCCCTTCATGCAAAGATTCCCTCAATACTATCGAATTTTCCATTTATACTATCCGAACTTATTATTAGTGATATTATCCTTTTTCTCAATATATGCTTTCACCTGCTTCACTTTACATATTCGTTATTTCATTATGAACCTCTCATTGCAGTCTTACTATCTCCTCCTTAATACATACCACTTCGTACTAGCCACTCACCTGACACCTTTTAGAACCTTGAACTGACTTGTCAATTTTCCTACCCCACATTTTACAATATTTTGTTATCGATTTCAGCCTAGCACGTTTGTCACACAAATACGACTATTCATTTTGACACCCCATAACTAATCTGTTATTCTACGTAAAAAATGTATCTGCCACATAACTGGCTATCATTATTGTAACGACAACAAATTATGAGGACTGACGCTACTACCCCCAATTGGGGATATTAGTGAAGCGAGTAGAGAGGGACTGGAACCTCTGACCTATCCTACTGGCTGGGTTCAAATGTGGAGTTCAGATCCTGAAGTTATTATATGTATGAACTCAATTGTTAGGGATAGATGTTTCTTGCATACACTACGATATGAAGCAAATTAAGTGGGAGCGTGTGTGCACGTGAACTGACAACTGCTATCCAGTTACCCTCAAGGTTGAGAATCAGAAAGAGTCCTACTGGACTGGTATAAGTCATTGATTATCGAAATATACAAGAAGAGAGAAGTCTTCCTGTGAGGGATTAGCTTGACTAATATGGTACTTCTACTAGGTGAAGACGCTGATAAAATGCAGAGTCTTCTGAACACGTTGAGCAGCAATCTTCGAATGTTTGGCATGCGATTTTGCGCCCTCCCGCCCTAAAATGTAAGACGATGCTACAGGACTGGACTGGACTACATTGATTCACTCCTAGCTTAAAGATAGGCAAGAGTGAAGTGGCTGATGAACCACCTCAGTTTTTGGGGAGTTGCATCAGCTAGCACCAGTTGGTTGACCGTTGACGAAATCTCAGCACGGACACATAAGGCTCGTTTGGCATATATCAACTTACTCCATCTCCAGCTTAGTAGATGTGATATCCGGCTGTCAACCAAAGGATGTGTGTACTGCTCACCAGTCCGCTCCTTCCTACTTTATGACTGTGAGACACGACCATTGAAAATGGGAAAAAAAATGGAAAAGGCTGTCTGTCTTCGATCACAAGTGTCTGCGTTCTCTCTCCCGTGTGAAGTGGCATAATAAGGGTGAGCAATATTGAGGTTAGGCCTCGGTCGAGTGCTAGGTAAGGAGGGGAAATCAATTGACGAGACAGTGAAGTTACACCGATTGAGATAGTTAGGACATGTGTTACTCATGCCTGCCTAGCGATCATCTTCCTCGACGGTCAATGATAGCTGACATAGAATGGATCAGAATGGAAAACAGCCAGTGGTGGTCAGACCAAAACATGGCTTCACCAGTCAATGAAGTCCACAACAGTTAGTTTAAGCTAGCCAGCCACGTAGGAAGGCATAGACTTCCTGACTGGTTGGGTCCTCGGGCCGGTAAACACCAATAGCTGGAAACAATCAGTGAAATGGCTCAAAATCATTGCCAATGGCACAGATGCATCCACTCCTTGTGACTTACAATATCCAATAAAACTATATTGTTATTCGATCTTACTATTCCTTTTGCCTCATATGTCTGTTTACTGTCTCTATTTTGCATTTACTTTTACTTTCCTCTTTTGTTTTGTAATCTGCATGGAGTGTGGCGACTCGAACTGCTGCATATCGATGCTAAGTTCTATGCTGAAACCAGTCAGTCACTTATTCGAGCCCTCTGGGCTGAGTCGATTCGGGTATACGACTGATGAAATCATTCCCAAACGAGTGAAACGGCTGTGAAGTCTCTAAACTTGCACTACTACTGTCAGATGTGAATGCATTCCAACTACCCATATTGTTCAGCAGCGTATGTCATCACTGTATGTCGTTTGCTTTCTTCATTACCAACTTATGGTATGAAGAAGATCAAACAGTGTAATCTGAAGATCTTTGGTTTCTATAAGGAACCATTAAGTCTACGAGAGCAAATGATTCTACCTGGCTGGAACAAACCTCGGTAGATGGAACATGCTCCGATACTCTGACTAAACCTAAACCAGTGTACCATAGCTCCACTCCAGTGTGAGTAACTGGTTAGTATCTGCGTCCTTCTACATAGTAAGTTTGACCTCATAGATTGGTACACGAAAAATTGCTTCCACGTAACTACTGAGTTTTAACTAACAAACTATCATATAAAAAATCAATAACAGGATTGATCACGAGCTGGGAGTGTTGGACAGCGCTGCTTTTTCTTCGGCAGTACGCGCAACCACCACCGGGGGGTTCGAAACCAGGAGCTTCCAATTACAAGGCGAGCCAGTGGAACTCGATCCAATGGTCCACGAATTCCAATTTTCGCCAATTCGCGGCACATAATATTTAGCGCGACCATCAGTCCCTGTCACAGGCCAGTATTCGTCCTCTTGTCCAGTGTGCTCCCATGTTTTCCAATAGTTCCCTCTAACTGTGATGCCAACTCGTGATCAATCCTGTAATCGACCAAATCCCTGGAAACCAACACTTGATAAGAAATATATGTGTAAAACTTGGGCACTGTGGCAGTATGTAATTCCATATTAGATTGTTTATTAGATGTATCACACAGTGAAGAAACAGTATTATTTACTGGATGACACAGTTTCGAACAAAATTTATTGTTCATAATCGTATCAACTGTAATCACACGACTTTGAAACTTGAGTTTTATAGTTTTCTTTGTTCAGTCCTATTTGTCGTCGTTGGGGTAGTAGAATTTTCCAGATATCTGGGTGGACAGGTGTTGAATCATTCCTATTACACGTATTTGCAGTTGATTCGATAAACAAAGCTTCTGTTATCAATCTCTCCCCATACCCTGTGACATTAGATTTTAAAACTGTCATCTTATCCCATCCTATTGTATGGTTGTGTGTAACTGCATGTAGTGCTATAACTGAACTATTCTCTAGATTTCTTATCTTATTCGGGTCAACCAATCTAGATTTTGCTAGGTTTTTATGTTCAGCTAGTCTGACTGCCCCTGTTCTACTACTTTGACCTATGTATTTGACAATCAATCCATGCAGGGTATTAGATAAACTGAATTGTTTTGTTTTAATGGCTCCACAGGATCCTTTAACCGACAAAGCTTGTTTCTAATTGAGTTTGTGGGTTTGAATGCCAGCCACTTTTATTCCTGCCGGCATTGTTAAGAATTCTGCGTAAGGTTTCCGAGGTTCCTTCCTTGTATGGAATTACTACTGATGATTTAGATTCCTTATTGTTGGTGTCGTCATTAATGTTATTATTATTGTTAGTATCACTATCGCTACTATCATTATTTATTTTATTTTTACATTTCTTTACATATTTCCTGACTAATTTATCCGGGTAATTATTAAGTTTCAAGGCTTCTTTTATGTATATCAGTTCCTGTTTTAGATTTTCTTTGGTACTACTTAGGTTTTGTCCTCTGTCACTTAAACATTTCACCAATCCTATTTTTACTGACATAAGATGGGATGATCGGAAGTCCAAATATCTATTTGAGTGTGTGGGTTTCCTGTAAACACTAGTGTTTAACTTCCCATCTTCTTTCCTCTTTACGCTGCAATCTAACATTGGGAGCTCCCCTTCCTGATTTTCCAATTCATAAGTGAATTGAATTGCTTCAACCGTCGAGTTGATGTGTTCGAAAAACCTATCTATATCTTGTGTTCTAAGTACAGTGAATGTGTCATCTACATACCTCCACCATACTTTTGGGGTGGGGGTGAATCGAATCAACTGCAAAACAAGGGTAATAGGAATGATTCAACACCTGTCCAACTGGATATCTGGAAAATTCTACTACCCCTACGACGGCAAATAGGAGAGAACAAAGAAAACTATAAAACTCAAGTTTCGAAGTCGTGTGATTATAATTGATGACATGATAATGAACAACAATAAATTTTGTTCGAAACGTCATCCAGTAAATAATACTGTTTCATACTGTGTGATATATCTAATAAACAAACTAATATGGAATTACTTGATAAGAAAATCATTTATTAAGTGTACATTATATACGCTGAGTATCAAATAACAACATGCATTAAAAATTTAAAACAATTTGTCCCTTTTATAAATTTGGATAGTGTTATGAGAAGACGGAGATTATCTGAAAAATGGTATGTGATGTATTTGCGCTATACGCTTCGAACACAATCTGATCCCTCACACACATTTACTTGTCAAGTCGATATATATATATATATATATATATATATATGTGAAAAAGTTAAATTAAACAAAGTGACAAAAAAAGGATTTCAGAATGATTAACACAACGTTTGATAATCCAATCAAATAAACAAAAAGCCTACATGGAATGGACAATTCATCAACTTTCAAAGCTTCGTGCCCCTAAGCAGAAAGAGGAACCTGATATACGCTCTTTTCTCGAGGATTCGAAAGATATGCAGCGAGGAAGTGATTGAAGAAGAACTGCGTAATCTCCGAAAAACCCTGATGGAAAACGGTTTCCCACCCAGGTTCATAGACAAGAATCTCAAATCTAAGAAGACTTCCGAACAAGTCCAGTCCGTTCCAAAGAAAATACTTCTGCTTAATCTAGAATTCAAAGGTGATATTGAATCAGAAATCCTTCGTAAAAGCCTCTCCAAATCGCTGAGGAAAACATACTTCACCGCGAACCTACGACTGACGTTTTCTTGCAAGAAACTGTTCAGCTAGAACGTGAAAGACAAGCTGTCGCATTGGGCCACCTCAACGTGCATATACCAGTTTACTTGCTCTTGTGGAGCTGAGTACATCGGCCGTACCATGCGCCAACTTGAAAAACGCGCTCGTGAACACTACCCAGTCTGGCTAGTAAAAGGAGACCAAAAACGTGTATACAGTTCAGTGACAGAACATCTGGTCAACTCAGGGACATTCAGCGCCTTTCGAAAAATCCTTCAAAGTAATATACAAGATTCAATCAAACCTATCAAAGGGAGTGAAATCAAGACATCTGGGCATAGCTGAGGCGCTAGCCATCCAAAAGCTGAAACCCACGCTTTGTATCCAAAAGAATTACGTCCAACCCCTGTCCCTGCCATGGCCATCATAAACAGGTAAATTTTTTTTAGTAATGACCATCCCATAGCCTTTTTTATCTAAACTTCCTGTTTATTCATGTTGTTTTAAGTTTTTCTTAATCCCTGTCTACACTACCATATTTTCATATCCACTCTTTCTGTTTATTTTGTCATTTTACTATTTCTACATATTTAATCCCTGATTGCATAAACAATTATTCATCACATTAGTTTTTTATCCAAACATCCTGTATATTTTGTTATTTCTACATTTCTAACCCCCAATTGCACAATGTCAATCTTCTTAGTTATTATACTGCTACTTTGTTTGAGTTTTATCCGTCCCCCTGTTTATTATGGCATTCTAATTCCTAATTGTAATTTTTATTAATTTGACCCCTAACCATAAATTATTCTGGAACTTTCCCATCCATTTGATATAAATACACGAATGTACAGCCTAGATGATGACTTCGTCGAATAGAAAATGTTCTTCTCTGCAACTGTCTTCTTATTCTTATGATCAAATAAGGATTACCAAGGTAGGTTAAGAGTAATAATCAAATATTTTTGAATACACACAGTGGGTGGGGGGAGAGCTTAAGTTTATGAATAGCTATAGCCTCAGCGTATTTCAATAAGCGCCCTCGACCATTTTTATAGATGACCTTAAAGGCTGAGTTAACCATCAATACATCACATGCATCAAAGGTAGGATATTTGCCAGCCACACCGCGACACGCCTGGATTCAACACCCAGTCGACGCAAATCCAAACCCCACCAAACCTAGTAGTAAGCCCGGTAAAGAGAGAAGAGGTAGGATGTGAGAATGGCAACAGCACTCTGCTATTAAAACTTCACATCGCTTAAAGCCCTATGCTCCACTCGGAAAGCTAAAGAATGAAAATACAAAATCAACGACAACAAGAATAATAATTAAAGAAAAGCTACCACTACTTACATTTTTAAAATATGCAATACTTGAGGAATATTTTGACTGACTGAAGCATAATTCTCTACAATCCACGCGATTCTCGCCTCTTCACTTACATCAATCCATACATGATGTGTGCCAACCAGTGGGTCAGTTGATCGCATTCTTGTCCACAGACTATCCGGTAAACTACACAACGGTCCAATTTGTCGTGATTCACCCTCAACCCATAAAATATTCTTCGGTGATGTAAGTCTATGCTTAGTTATCATTAACGCTTGATGGAGACGTGATTGAAATCTTTTTGGTGTAATAGAATTGATGGAAGCATTATTTTTACTATTATTATTATTGTCATCGCTGTTGTTGTTGTCAGTTACCTGAGGATTAGCCACTTCAAGACTTCCAAACATTGAACCTTTATGCATAGCTATTGCCTCTAAATCTAACACAATCTCACCACATTCATTTAATTCTTGAAGAATTAAAGACTTTCCGGAACCTGTTTTAAATAATAATGCACATGTAATCAATCAGTAAAACAAATAAATAATAAACATTGAATATATTGAACATAATAAAAACAAAAACACGGGGGAAAAAAAATCAAACGAATTAGGGTGGAAAAGTCACCGAAAAAAAAAAAACACTTAATACAGCTGCCGCCTTATGGTAAATTTTCTTCCTGAAAATAAATACCTATACTATTATTAATCAGTAGTACTAAGAAAATCACGAAATATCATTCTCGAAAACTCTTTACCTACTGACGACGTCCAACTCAGAAGCAACTTTAGTTACTTAATTGAATTTTAGATTTTCCCGTCGATTTGATTGGACCGAAGTTCTCGGTCTCAGGTTGACATGTCGGCTTCTTGTGCAGATGCTTCGACGATGTCTGGGCATTTAATTAGAAGTTAATTGGTGAATGGGATGGGCATTTTGTCCTATTTAGGACTCTTCATCTGGATGTACCCGCATTCCTCTGTGAGTGATGGCGTTCCTCCTGAGGCACAAGCCCAGTGCTCATAGTTTCAAACTCCAAAGCGTTATCCACTAGACCACTTGGGCCATGAGAGCCACCTCATCCACCAATTAACTTCTAATTACATGCCCAGACATCATCGAAGCATCTACACAAGAAGCCGACATGTCAACCTGAGACCAAGCACTTCGGTCCAATCAATCGACGGGAAAGTCTAAAATTGAATTAAATAATTAATATGATCCGTTGCACAAGAGGTGACTCTCGTAGTCCAAATGGTCTAGTGGATAACGCTTCGGTGTTTGAAACTATGAGCATTGGGTTCGACCCTCGGTGGGAACATCATCACTGACTCACAGAGGAGTGCAGGTTCATCCAGCTGTTGAGTCCCGAATAGGACAGCCGAAATGCACATCCTGGATTCCACTGCTAGTCACCATTCACCAATTAACTTCTAACTTTAGTTACTCTTCGGTAATTTGTCCAGCTCTACAGACCGAGATTTGTACCACCAGACAGTATCTGTATACCTCACGCAAAGGAACTTGCTTATCGCCAACTGCGTCGAAATGCAAGTAGTTGCTGAGTAAATTGTTGAATGTAAGAACGAGTATGTCATTATCGTCATCATAATTATGATAATCGCTCTAGAAAAACTAAAAACCATTCAAAAGACAAAACCTGTGCAAACCATCTATATGCTTAACTAGGGTAAAGAATAATTCTGAACTCTATCAGCACATGTTTCGACATGGTGAAGATCGTCTTCCAATAAAATGGTGTCATGTTATGACACTTCGTCAGCTAGCTTCATAGGATTGGGCATGTGCTGCGAATGTTATCCCCAAGGCTCCTACTATCTGCCAGTCGTCTCAGAAGTGGGTGAGAAACCACCCCATTACGTGACACCTTGGGGTAAAGGATAAAAATCCCTAGGTGGGGTGCGATGGATAACCCAAATCAGTGGTTACGGCTGAAAATTGTAATCATCAGTGGCGAACATGCTGAAAGTAAACTGCATCTCTTCGTACCAGATTTGTTGTATATAAATAAATAAGTAAACAGAAATAATAAAGCAAGTTGAGTAAAACTCAGACAAACAACAACAACACAGTCATTAATATTAAACAGCATAAATGAATAATTCTTTACACAAATGGAGGTACACAACAAACTAACCCGTTAGACCAGAAATCATCCAAAATGGATTAGGCATAGACCAACGAGGCCAAGCATCTAATTGTCGTAATAGCAGTCGACGCCATGAACGATATCCACCGACAAGAATATAAATATCACCCGGCCAACCAGTTTCAGACAAGATTGTAGCTAGTGAAGCTGACCGCTGACCACCACGCCAACAATAAATTAAAAAATTTGGAAAAATAGTTTTCCGCCTCCCATTGACGATTTGATGATGATGATGATGATGATTAGCGCTCGTTGAACTATTCAGCTGGGATTCATATTCATCAGCAAGTTGTTTTAAACACCGACTAATATTTGCACAGACTAAAGATGCACCATGCAGACGAGCACGAACAAGATCACCTGTAATGTAAGATGATAAAAAACAAACCGCATCAGTGATCTGGTTCAACAGTTTATAAAATCTAAAAAAAATGTATAGCTGAAAGGCATTTTTCGCTTCAAAAATTAGTGCGATTTCAGGAATTTAGGCAGTGTAGTCCAACTGCCTGAGTTTCACCATAGGACTTTGTAAAGAAGTGAAACATGTCAAGTTTCCACACCTCATTTGGCACAGAAAAGTAGAGAAAAGGAGAGAGAAAAAAGAGGCACAAAAGAATAATAATAATGAGCAGGAATGTACGGGAGGAAGAGAAAGAATAGTAACATGGAAAAAAACTTCAGTGGGTGCGTACTGCCGATGATTCCCAAACTAGGATGAAACAGCTGTCCAGTACTCCCTGGTTTTCAATGCTTCTCTAACTGATATCAACTCATAAAAACAAAACTCATCCTTACAAACCAAACTATAGAAAATTAATCTGATGCTCGCTAGTGACTTGCTACAGGAGTTTCCTCGAGTTTCCTGGAGTTCTAGTGAGAAGTCGTGACCAGTGAGGTCCATTCAGATGTCACGTGTGAGGATGGATGTCCCACCAACGACAATGGTTCGGGTCGCGCTAAATCACGAATTGGTAGAAGTTAGAATTCATGGCTGCATGGTATACGAGCTTGCCTTGTAACCGGAAGGTCCTGGGGTCGAACCCCAGCGGGTGCGCACTGCCGCTGATTCCCAAACTAGGATGAAACAGCTATCCAATACTCCCTGGTTTTCAATGGTTCTTTAACTGATATCAATCTGCGATCAACTCGTAAAAAAATATGAAGACTTAATGCATTGGAAAGATCCCAAACAGTGAATGTTTCTGCACGATTGACAACCGTTCTTGAGTTATACCACCAATAGTCTCCAACCATTTGGTGTTTAACATCCCGAGGACCCCAACTAGACAGTCAACACTTCCCTATACACAACTTGCTTAAACAAACTGTCAAAGATTTCACGGACTGTTGACGCCATGTTTTCGTGTAATCACCACCTCTTACTTTTTTCCAACTAATTCAATGTCATCATGAGCTGACATCAGTTAGAGAACCACTGGAAAGCCTGAGAGTACTGGACAGCTGTGAACTCCAGCCTTGTTTGGGACTCTTCAGTAGTACGCACCCACCACCAGAGTTCGAATCCACGGCCTTCTGGTTACAAAGCCAGCTCGTAGACCATGGAGCCACTGGGACCCCATCAAATGGCCAATGCATGAATTCTAACTTCTACTGATTCACGACATAGCGCGACCATTTCGCAATGTCTTCTTCGATGAGTTACTGCCTCACCTTCAACCTGCTGTATGCTACTGGTCACGGCTTCCCACTAGAACCCCAGGTCACTGTCTGAATAGGGCCAGTCGCTAGTGAGCATCAGATTAATTTCAAGTATTGGTTTTGTAGGGATTTTTTTGATTGGCTGGAGGATTTCATCATGGGCTGACACTAGTTAGAGAACCACTGGAAAAGCTGGGAGTACTGGACAGCTGTTTCGTCCTAGTCTGGGACTCTTCAGCAGTGCGCAGTGGCTTAATGGTCTACGAGCTGGCCTTGTAGCCAGAAGGTCATGGGTTCGAACCCCAGCGAGTGCGTAATAATAAAGAATCCCAAACTGGGACGAAACAGTTGTCCAGTACTCCCAGGCTTTCCAATGGTTCTTTAACTGATATCAATCCGTGATCAACTCGTAAAATACCGTTAGAGGTCATATTTTAATATATTGAAACAAACTGAACAAGGGATATTATATGCAATATGGGAATGGACGATTTTGGTAGCCCAGGTTTGAAACAGGTCACCTAAACAATAAGAGTGGCTTGCAGCCTCGTATATAGAAGGATTCATTCCGGCTAACGGTGTTACAACCAATCCCGACCGATAGCTGCTACCTTGACATGGTGGTTACGCTTGCACATCACAATGACCCAACAAGCTACACTGGCTGGAACCAATGTTCCTACAGGTCCTACCATGCCAGTAAGTTTGTTAGGATAGTGATTAGACTAAAAGCAGTCACCGGCATAGTATAAGAATTTTTTTACACTATACTGGGGGTCTGTGGGCGAAGTTGTACTGCTGGGGAACAGGGATGTATCAGCAGTGAGATGTTTCCCTCAGATGACCAGCATGCCAGCCAACTATGCTGTCTTTCCACTCTGGAGAGAGGGGGTTAGAAAAGGTCGACTTACTCTACGGTGGTCCGTTACTGGCGGTAAGTTTACTCATACGGAACCAAACCAGTTCATACCGGCCGCCTTCAAGCAGTTGTCCCCTGGGCTCTGCGATCACGCAACACTAATCCTCTTTCTGTTTCAGGTACACGGAGAATCAGTCAACTTCCACGCTGTGAGCAGCCGGGAAATAACAACCGCTCACACACTTCCAAGAGGATACGAAGCCTTCTCGAGCATCCATGTTACTCCATGTTACAACCAACTCTTAAGTCACCATTGTAACAAGCCCAATACTTCCCAGAAATCATATATCCGTGAGCCTAAACCACATAAACCATGAAAAAAGTGAGTGAATATACAGCTCATAGAACTACAAAATTAGAACAGAAATCAAATAACAAGTCTGTCTGTCTGTCTGTATTCAACATAGAACTTGGCACCGAAGTCTAGCAGTCCGAGTTGCCAAGTTCCAAATAGCACACAAAGGTAGACAAGAAGATGAGTGAAGAGAATCAACAGAGTTTTGACAAGTATAAGAGTGAAACAGAATGAGTAATGGTAGAAAGGAATATGAAAGATTACAGAGACTGAATACATCTGCGTAAGCCATTGACAACGATTTTGAGTCATGTCACCTGTTGTCTCCAGCCACCATTGATTCTTAGAGTCCCGAGGGCGGGCCCCAACTCGGAAGTCTGCATCTCCCTCCCTACCTGACTCAGTTTAACTGTTAAGGATTTCATGGATTGATGAGGTCATTTTTTTGTTTGGCCACCACTTACTCTTTTCCAACCTGCAGCTAAATCAGCTAGTAATGCCTGTTGGGGGAGGAGGCGATGGTTAGGCATGCGCAGCACCTGACCTAGCCATCTCAATCTATGTAACTTTATAGCCTCTTCGATTGATTTTCCCTCTTTGCCCAACACTCTACGCCTAACGTCAACATTACTTACCTTATTATACCACCTAACGTGAGAAATAGATCGTAGACATCTATGATGAAAAACAGTCAACCTTTTCATGTCTTCAACTCGTATTGACCATGTTTCAGAGCCATAGAGAAGGACGGACAAATAACAAGTAAATAAAATACCTCAATGATACAACTCACCTTGTGAATATAAACGACCAACAAACTCCCTTTCCTCATCATTTAACACTGGTACATTTATTGCACCGTGTATATGATCATCAGCGAATTCTTTCGGGCTGCGTACATCAACAATAATCGGTTGTAAATTAGGCCTAGTGAATAACTCAGACAATGAACAACACGCTGAAGGATTTGACTCTGGAGATGGTGGGATAGTTGAATGCCAGGCTTCTTCTGTAGCATACGACTCATGGATTAAAGATACTAATTTAAATGGTTTCTTTTGAAATTTACTAGAGGTATTTGTACTACTACTACTGCTAAGGCATAATTGTAATTGATGATTAATTGTCGATGGGTGGATGATTCGATAGCCGTAATGTGATAATTTATAATATGAACACAATCGAATACAATTAGATAGAAGTGCCTAAGACAGAAATGAAAATGATACATTGAAATAAGTGTACAAAAATCTTACAAGTATCAAAAATTAAAAAAAAAACTTGGCCCGTGTTCTAAGCGACAGAGACAATGTTAAGCGCGAAACCTATGACTTGCTTTGTTGTTAATAATCATAATTTTAGGCTCTTTTATTTCTCCCTTATTTTGTATTCTAAAGTGAACTCCTTCTTAAACATACTTAGCTACCTTAATTATTAACGTTGGCTTACTTTTTGTACTTTACTGTATTCCTTCTTTTGTGTATTTTACTGGTTCCAACTATATTAGCACTATGAGTATTACAAAATTTTCCTGTCATTAACCATCATGTAATCATTAGGTTTTGTAGTTGTCTTTTTTATGTTTTTTTCGGCAATATTAAGTGTCAATCATTGTTTGTGAACGCCAATATCACCATCTTAAAATTTTGTATTATGCAGGATTACTCACACTACCACTACAAACACTGCATTAGACCTGAAAATAAAAAACAAAACAACAACCCTGAAATGTTATTTTATGATTGTTTAGAGTTGTTTCAACCAAATGAACTGATCATCTTGGCGATAAACATTCTTAAATATCATTTCATAACTTCTTGTATGACTATAGCTTTACTGTCACCATGCACAATCATATCATAGCTTCCACAACCCAATACTGAGATATTATTATATGCTGTTTATTTTCCTTTCTACTTCTTGGCATTTTTTCGCATTTTTTAAAAATTATTTTTGTGTTTTTCCTGTTTTTTTTGCTGTTGGTGTCTTTATATTTATTTTTTTTTGAAATACTCCTTTAAATGTTTGAAAAAATTAGATGCAAATATTGTAGATATGTGCTGAAAATTCCACACTGTACCACTAGTACTGTTTCTGGAATAAAGCAAATTATTATTATTAAAAATTTTAAAAAAACTCTTAGAACTACCCTACTAAAGAAAGAGTGGAAATTACAACTTACTAGAGAGTTGTCTAATTTAAGATTTACAACCATCACATGTAATGGAGAATGATTTGTATGCCTAATGCCGTACAAAGTCGAAGGCGTAAACCGACGAGTTGACAGGATAGGCAGCAAAGACAGGACTTCAACTGAATATGGAGAAGATAGAGGCGATCAAGGTACCCAACCGACGGCGACAACAACAACAACAAGCACCAATCAGCCTCAAAGGGAGAAACCTTCAACTTACATGAACCAGGGAGCACCACAGATGAGAATATCAAAGCCAGGATGGGATCACTTCAGTATGACTGGGGTTAATTACTCTTAAAGCAGTGTTAAGATCTCTACAGTACTCAGTACAAGAAACAAGATCTACATTTTTAACACTGATGTCAAGTCAGTTAGTGCTTCTACATTGCTGAAGAGATTTGGTGAAGGTGTCAACAAAAGCATTTCTGCCTGACTACTACTACAGTAAACTTTCATCAACAACTGCCTTAGTTCCATATATTCAAGATCAGGTGACAGGGTAGAAAGGCTAGACAAAACGGGACTCTGGCGAACAACCTACTGGGAACTTGTTTCCCGATAAATATGTAGATGGATGAGACATACACTGAGGAGGCCGTTGAGGAGGATATCACACGCCAGGCAGACCGTCAGATGGAACTTGAATGGGAAGTTATGAGTTAGACGTCACAGGATGTGACATGGAGGAGGAGGAGGAGAGGAGAGCTTGTGGGCAGTTACAGAGCCAGCTGTACAGCGAAAAAAAACTTCAGAGAACAGAGTGATATGGTGGATATGCTGCCGAAGCCCAATGTTTCACTCAGAACCCAAAGAAATGATGTTAACTTTTGTATATTGTTATAATCACTTTATGATAAAAAGATAATTTCAATAAATGATGAAATTTTATGTAAACGGTATCTTAATATAATAGGCAATGAACGAATGAAGACCAAGTAACTGGGTTCCTGTCGACATTACCTCTAACACACGAACTTGTACCGTATAAGATAAGTGTCTATGCCATGACACAGATTGATACGGTATTGATAACTGAGTCAGTTGACTGAGTATTCAAAGTGGAACTTCGTACAGAAGCGCACCAGTTCAGGCTGTCAAACACTCCATACAGTACTCAAAAGTAGACAACAACAAAAAACAATCAAAAGAAATATAATCAATAGAAATGTACCGGAAAAAGAACAAGTTTGCAGAGAATGATATGGATTTAATGCATACTAATGACCAAAAGCTGTGGATGCATTTTAGCCACTAAGCATGACTTTAAGTCATATCACCAATCTTATCAAGTCGATCAATTCATAACATCTTGAGGATCCCATCCATACAGTGTACACCTGCCTACATGGCGCAAAACAACACTCCATGGACTAATAACAGGTTTAGATTTGACCACCCCTAACTCTTTTCCAACTTAACCTTATGTCAGCTTACACTGCTCGAGTAGAAAGATATGATTATGAGCAGTAATAAATTGTGCTCGAAATGTGGCCAACAAAAAATATTACTGTATAACACTGTGAGACTATCAAAATAAATTTTACCCATAATGAAATGTGTCAGTGCCAACATGAAGGACTAGAAATAACATGCCAGTGGTTACAGACACACAGGTGCAGTAATGCAAAATCTTGTATGAAATGTCATCAACTAGAGTTGACGCACTTCGAAAAATAAAACAAATACAGAAGTCAAATCGCTAAAATACAATTTTTTCTTATTTTTTTTATTTTTGATTACAGCTTGATTCCACACCGTATTTTTTGGCACAGGTATGGAATTTTCAGCATGGATATCGGTAGCCCAAATTTTGCAGGCCGACCATAGATACTGGGTGTGCGTCGGCAGGGGATCGAACCCCGAACCATGTGCATGGTCGGCGAAAGTCCTAACCACTGTGCCACCGACGCTGTGTGACTCATACGCCTGTTAAGGCGTTCAACTTCCAAACAGTGGTAACGGGTTCGAACCCCACTCCATGCTTGCATGGAATTGTAAGTGGTGGCTGGTGAGTTGGTCAAGTGACTAAAAGGTAAAACATGTGTCATGAAGAGTGTTGTTTAATGAAGACTATTGAAGATATTTAGAATCCATTAGTTACCATAAGGAGTGAATACACCTCACTATTGTGAATAATAACTCACCAACAGTGCGTCGGTGGCATAGCGGTTAGGACGCTCGCCGACCATGCACATGGTCCGGGGTTCGATCCCCGGCCAAAGACGCACTCCTTTACCTCGCTAAGCCAGAAATAATGCTGGTGAAGAAGAAAGGTTGGGCATGAGGCTTGCGACCCCATCCTGTAAAAATAATCACCACTGCTACAGAAACTTCGAGCCTCTAGCTTGGAAAGAAAACAGTTCCCGACTATTGATCATATAACCACAGCCAGGTAACATGGTTGAACCGAGCAGTCAATAGCTTTCTAAAATAGTGTGACGTATCGCTATGACCACCCCACTAGTGAGGTGAGGTGGAGTGCAAGACAACAGAATAAAATTCATAAAATCGTCGGGTTTAATTATTTCTAACAACTAACACTTCACATAGAATATCAACACTAATTTATCATACTGTGCCACTAAAGGAAACCATCACTGTGAACAAACGTGTGGTTAAAACATATACATCATATTTTCACATCTTATACTTTCATATACAATGCATCATAGATGTAATGTAGGTGGTAAGGCGAACTGATGCACACCATTTATTCCCTTCGATTGGTAGTTTAATATCCCATCTGTGCTTAAAATGACCAAAGTTGTCAAATCCCAAGTGACTAACTGACTGACTGAGTGAATTTCAACATAGAACTCAGCACAGAATTGTAGCACTTCTAGTTGCCACACTCCAGGTTTTGTGGTCTTTTGGAAGTGGATGCTACCTCCCGACTGCCCAGACCATGGAAGTTGATTTTGTTTTGCTGGAATACCTGAAGCACACAGAGAACTAGTGTCACATGATCCCAGAGCGCAGGGGACAACAGCTTGAGGCCAGTGATACAAGGTCTGTTTTAACTGGTCTTTAGAGTTGTGCTCGTATCTTACTACCGGGATGAACAATTTTCCGGGTCGACCTTTTTAACCTTCCCTCTCCCCCCTCTCCAGAGATGAGACAGTATATCTGGCATACTGGTCATCTGAGGAAAACGCCTAACTGATTTTACCTCCCTGCTCTCCCGCAGTACGACTTCACTCAGACCCCCGGCATAGTGTAAACCACCTTTACTATGACGATAACTGCTGTTTGTCTAATGGATACCTTAACAACCGTTCTGGAATGGCAGGACCTCTAGGGATATTGATTCCAGCTAGTTAAGCTCGTTGTGTAATTGAGATATGTGAGCCCGAAAACAACGTCCAGGTAGCAGCCACTGGTAGGGCAAGTGGGATTTAGATATCCCTGCTAAAATTGTCTCAGAAACCAGAGCAACAGAGAGGATGTGCAGCTTCGCGAATAAGTGTAGTCATCAAAATAATCCAACAACTTATTTCCGATGGTTGATAAACTAAAACGGCACATAAACTAGTCATATAGTACCATCCTATATTTAACAAAACAGATGGAAATGCATACTCACCATTTTGAACTGTCCTCTGGAGTAGTGTCCAAGTCAATCGCCTTTGACCCCACCCCTCCCAATAGTACAATTCAATTCCACAGAAGTAATAATCACGCAATGTCAAATAATTTCACTACATATTAAAGTTTGCACTGAAGATGTTGACTAGAAAGACAATGAGAGGTTCGCAGTTAAATCAACCATCAGACCAAAAATGTTCACAATCAAAATCCATAGAACATTAATCACATTGAAAACTCCTTACAGACAGCCAGTAAACTATACTGTGTCACTATGTGCAATATTCTAAGTTATACTGTCAGGTGTGCTACTGACAAGATTTATCAGTAGTATATAAAGAGAAATTTATCAGCATAAAAATATCAAATAGCATAGAGATGGATTTGACGAAAAAGATAGAAAATGAACCACTATTATTAATATGTGTAAAACTTGGGCACTGTGGTTGTAAGTAATTCCACACACACACACACACACACACACACAGTGAAACAGTATTATTTACTGGATGACAAAGTTTCGAACACAATTTATTGTTCATAATCATTTCATCAATTATAATCACACGACTTTGACACTTGAGTTTTATAATTTTTCAGGCTTTGTCGGTTAAAGGATCCTGTAGAGCCTTTAAAACAAAACAATTTAGTTTATCTAATACCCTGCCTGCGATGACTGTCAGGTCAAATACATAGGTCAAACTAGTAGAACAGGGGCAGTCAGACCAGCTGAACATAAAAACCTATCAAAATCTAGATTGGTTGACCCGAATAAGATAAAAAATCTAGAGAATAGTTTAGCTATAGCACTATATGCAGTCATACACAACCAGACAATAGGATGGATGGGATGGGATGACAGTTTTAAAATCTAATGTCACAGGGTAGAGGGAGAGAGAGATTGATAACGGAGGCTTTGTTTATCGAATCAACTGCAATTAACACGTGTAATAGGAATGATTCAACACCTGCCCACACGGACATCTAGAAAATTCTACTACCCCCATGACAACAAATACGAGAGAACAAAGAAAACTATAAAACTCAAGTTTCAAAGTCGTGTGATTACAATTGATGATGTGATTATGAACAGCAATAAATCGTGTTCGAAACTTTGTCATCCAGTAAATGATACTGTTTAACTGTGTGATACATCTAATAAACAAACTAATATGGAACCAGTATTATGGCAAAACAACATAGGAGACATGGAAAGAAGACAAGGAAACACAATAGGAAAGTTCAGAAGTAACACAACACCATGGAAGATCTGTGCTAATAACGATGTTATAATATATGTTATGTATGATCTCCCCATATGCATTGATCAAACTGCAAATAAACATCCCGTTACCAACTACTTTTGTGTTTTGCCGTTACAATACAACTTCAGTCGAATACGTTCTTCTTAAGTTGACTTCGCCACATTAGTCCGTAGAGAAAAGGCTAAATATAGAGAATTTAACAGATCTAAATAAGAGATAACATGCATATAAAGGTTTTGATTGATATTACAAGGCTATAGGCAATCAACATGAACATTGGAACCCAGATTTTATCATTGTTGACACTCATTAGTAAGGTGTATCTGCAACCTGGTGCGTCGGTGGCATAGCGCTTAGGACGCTCGCCGACTATCCACATGGTCCGGGATTCAATCCCCGGCCACCGACGCACTCATTTACCTCGCTAAACCAGAAATAATGCTGGTAAAGAGGAAAGGTTGGGCATGAGGCTTGCAACCCCATCCTGTAAAATAAACACTGCTACAGAAACTTCAAGCCACTAGCTGGAAGCCCTATGTTCCACTGGGGAACATAAAGGAAAAAAAATCTGCAACCTAGAAGGAGATAATGTTCCAAAACCACAGAATAGACATATGGCATTGGCCACTCCGAAGCCGCCAATCAACGTATCCTTAACAGTCCTTCATGGGCCTGAATAGCTTCGTTTCTGATGATTGTAGGGTTCGGATCTCAGAATGGGGATGATTTCCTTCAAGGTTAACAACAAGTAGGTACATCTTGTCAAGGAGTGCGGGCAAGTATGAAATCTAGGTCCATGACCTTTCTATCGATTGCCTCAAACTATGTAACGTGTTGACGAGTCATTCTATCTAGCTAGGTGACCCCACATTAAAAACTTGACGGGTAGAATTCAGACAGCACCAATACCAAGGACTAAACACCCCCCATCATAGTGGCTAATCAATATTTTTCTCTTGATTGCATTGTGTGCCAAACCACACAGGAGGTCGAATCAAAACACCAACAAGAAACCATCATCATCAAAGACCACAAGAGAATTCATTCTACCATAAATGAGAAATATCTCTGAAATAACAGCTAGAATACTGAAACCGTTAGATATAGATATAGCACACAAGCCAGTAAAATCACTTAATTCGATATTGTGCAAACCGAAAGATCCAACAGAAAAAGGGGATAAAATCAATACCATTTACAAAATAAATTGTATGAACTGTAACAAGCATTACATCGGTCAAAGTGGGTGTCCCCTTCGAATCAGAATTCAAGAACACAAATCAGCCGTGAAAAGACATGATATATATATATATATATATATATATATTCTTTAGCATCAATGCATATAGACAGTTATGGTCATCGATTTGATTGGCATAATGTCGAGACCTTAGACAGAGGAAACACCAAAAGTAACAGGGAATTCCTAGAAGCCTGGTACTCAATCGAATATGCAATTAACAAACACGTTAATATAGACCAAATATACCAACTAATAAAAAGTAAATCAGGTGACCAGAAAGTTTAAAATCCAAGTCAATAGAAAATGGTCACTACATATGTAAAGATGGTTACCAGGAGACGCAATTATATCACTCATGAAGAAATTTAAATCATTTCACTTTGTGCTAAATATTGCGCTGAAGGGAGATGTTGTCCAGAAGGACGACGAAAGCTCCGCAACTAAACCAACCCAGCTCAGAGAGCACTATTAATTGCAAATGTTTTTAAGTATAAAATATTAAAAATACGTGTTGTAGTACAAGGAATAATAATAGTAATCAGCATCATACACGGGAAAGAACACAACCAAACACTGAATAGTTGACAAAAACCTGTTACTCACTCCTTGGGGTAGAAATTCTTGACAAAAAAAAAAAGAATTAATACAAGTATAATACAGATTTATTAGGGTTATACACAAAACAAAGAACAATATGGTTGCGTAATACAAACAACTCCTCAACACGGAAAGAAAGACAGTGAAAACTACAATGACGATCTTATATCCTTTAGAGGAGATATGTTCATCACTGCACTGATGTAAACAGATCACCCACGATTATACACTATTCAATCGATGTAAATTCAATCTGGTAACATCATTGACTGTTCATTAACACATCTCCAGTAGTATTAGATGTAGAATCCAGTTGAAGTTGGAAAGAAAGTGTCCTAGGCGTGGTTACATCACTAACATGAATTAACTGACCGTCTATAAGACCGAGATCTAAGGAGAGAAGGAGAAAGAGAGAGAGAGTAGAAACAATCAATAACCGTGAGTGGGGAAACAAAAAAGACTTGGGTAATTATAATTAATTTCTAACTGTTGACTTGTGGGGATTTGACTGATTTCAAGTTCAATCACAGGGTGACTGACTTCTCAGTTAGCGAACTATCGGAAACGAGGAGGTCCTATAAAATTGTTTCGTCCTCGTTTGAGGCTCTTCGGCAGCACGAACCCATAACATTACCAAGGACCGAACCAAGGACATTTGTGCTTCATCGATAATAATAATAATGTAATACATGATGACTGAAGATCAGAAAAGGGGGACATCGAAAGCTACGGTTCGCGATAGGACTCGAACTAAGTGGTCTTCAGGATTACTAATCCGTCAGTCCACTAGCCAAGCTACGAGATGCATCTGTTAACCAGATGATAGTTTAAGTGGAATCATCATAGTTAATGCGCACTTATCGCAGACATAATAATAATGCATAACTTGAACAAAGCAAGAACGACAAATGTGTACCAGGATAACATGAGTTCACCTCTCATTATTTCAAAGATTCTTCACAGCTGTCTACGAACTGAACTATACACAAAAGTACAAATCAGAAGTTAATTGGTGCATGGTGACCAGCAGTGGAATCCAGGATGTGCATTTCGGATGTCCTATTTGGGACTCGTCAGCTGGATGTGCCTGCATTCCCCTGTGAGTCAGTGATGATGTTCCCACCGAGGCTCGAACCCAGTGCCCATAGCTTCAAACTCCAAAGCGTTATCCACTAGGCCATTTGGAACACGAGAGCCACCTCTTGTGAAATGGATCATGTTAATTTATTTGAATTTTAGGTTTTCCCGTCGATTGATTGGACCGAAGTGCTCGGTATCAGGTTGACATGTCGGCTTCTTGTCTAGATGCTTCGACGATGTCTGGGTATGTAATTACAAGTTAATTGGTGGATGAGGTGGCTCTCATGGCCCAAGTGGTCTAGTGGATAACACTTTGGAGTGTGAAACTATGGGCACTGGGTTCGAGCCTCGGTGAGAACATCATCACTGATTCACAGGGGAATGCAGGTACATCCAGTTAGTTGAGGAGTCCCAAATAGGACATGGCGAAATGCACATCCTGGATTCCAGTGCTAGTCACCATCCACCAATTAACTTGTGATTACATACCCAGGCATCGTCGAAGCATCTACACAAGAAGCCAACATGTCAACCTGAGACCGAAGACTTCGATCCAATCAATCGACGGGAAAATCTAAAATTGAATTAAAAGCATAAATCACATTGAAGATTTGAACATACTTTTTTCACGATGATAAGGAGTAATTGACAGAAGGAAATAAGAGTAACACAAATCTGGAATAATATAAGTTGTCAAATAGTTAAGAGTTCAAAGGATCAACTATTAATAGGATAATTAGACGAATAGTCTTGGAAACAAAAAGACAAAACAAACAAGGTTCAACTAGAACGAGCATAACAGTATGGTGAGTTACG